ACAGCACTTGCTCTTACAGTCTGTTACAGGCTACACGGGGGATCTTTGTCGTTGTTGTTTGTGCGTGCGTGTGCATGTGTGTATATATGCCTGTGCGTGCGTGTGCATGTGTGCCTGCATGCGTGCGTGCCTGTGCGTGTGTGCGTGTATGTGCGTGTGCCTGCGTGTGCGTGCGTGTGTGTGGTAGCATGCGTGTGTGTGCGTGTGCGTGCGAGCGGAGCGCCGGGTGGCTAAAGCACAGCAAGTTGGCACAGTAGGGGGCACAGGTGGTGCATCAGCCAGTCATCTCGGTCATCTCAGTCGGTCGACCCATGGCACCTGCTGGGTCTGCCCCGTGACCTCCTGCCAGCGGGCGTTCGACACTTCACGTGGCCTCAAGGTGCACCTAGCCTGGCACAAGCGTCGTGGTGACGTCACCGCCACTTAGTGGCGAATGGCGGTTGTTGTTGTTGTCGTGTGTGTGCGTGTGTGTGCGCGCGTGTGCGTGCGTGTGTGCGTGCGTGTGTGTGTGTGCGCGTGTGTGTGCGTGTGTGTGTGCGTGTATGTGTGCGCGTGCGTGTGTGTGTGCGTGTGTGTGTGTGCGTGCATGTACGTGCGTGTGCGTGCGCCCACCTGGGGTGGCAGGGATGCCCATGATGTCGGAGCAGAGGCGTGCGTACTCGCGCGCCGTGTCGGCGATCTCCCCGCTGTGAATCACCTGGTCCAGCTTGCTGAGCACCACCTGCCTCAGCGTGAACACTCCTGCCGAGACAAGGAAGGCAGCGCCGGCGCCGGCGCCGTGCGGGGCGCGAGTGCCGTTAGCCAGTGCCACCGCTCCGTGCGCACGGACAAAGTCCCCCTTATTCTAGATTTGAAGTTTTCGTGACTGCAAGGAATCCATACTCTTTGGTTTTTTCGGGTTGTCACGGAGGTAGAAAAGAAAAAAAAAATTAAATGACGACGTTTCAGAAGCAACACAAGCGACCGTCGTCAGGTGTTGACTGATTCAGTAATTTTACTAATTTTACTGAAAATATCAGAAGCCTCAGTAATTTTGCTGAAGCCTCAGTAATTTTACTAATGTTACTGAAAATTCAGAAGCCTCAGTAATTTAGCTGAAGTCTCAGTAATTTTACTAATGTTACTGAAAATTCAGAAGCCTCAGTAATTTAGCTGAAGCCTCAGTAATTTTACTAATGTTACTGAAAATATCAGAAGCCTCAGTAATTTAGCTGAAGTCTCAGTAATTTTACTAATGTTACTGAAAATTCAGAAGCCTCAGTAATTTTGCTGAAGCCTCAGTAATTTTACTAATGTTACTGAAAATTCAGAAGCCTCAGTAATTTAGCTGAAGCCTCAGTAATTTTACTAATGTTACTGAAAATTCAGAAGCCTCAGTAATTTAGCTGAAGCCTCAGTAATTTTACTAATGTTACTGAAAATTCAGAAGCCTCAGTTATTTTGCTGGAGCAGTGAACACCTGATGACGGTTGCTCGTGTTGATTCCGAAACGTCGCGATTTAATTGACTTGCTTTCGTGTTTAATTTATTTTCTATCTTTTACCCACGTGACTTTACCGAAAAAAACAAACATGTAAAAGTCCCCCTACTCTTTGGTTCTTTCGGTAAAGTCACGTGGGTAAAAAATACAATTAATAAAAGTAAAATAAAATATATATTCTTCTTGGTTCTTATGTTTTATTGTTATTATTTTATAATTTCCATTCTACGAGACTTTACCGATTATTTTATTATTTCAATTCTACGTGACTTTATTTTATTATTTATTTTATTATTTCCATTCTACGTGACTTTACTGAAAGAACCAAGAAGATGAATCCCTGCCGTCACGAAAGCTTTAAATCGAAAAATATATATCTTTTTATTTTAATTTTATTTTTCACCTATGTGACTTTCGGTAAAGTCATGTGGGTAAAAAAATAAAATTAATAAAAGTAAAATAAAATATATATTTTTTTATTTTAATCTTATTTTAATAAAATTAATAAAAGTAAAATAAAATATATATTTTTAAAAAATTTATTTCATCTTTCACCCACGTGACTTCACCGAAAAAGACCTGAGCGCGTGCGAATCCTCGCAGTCGCGAAAGCTTCGAATCCACAACTAAAAGTCCCCCCCTCCCCGATGCGCCCTCGCGAGCGCCGTCGATCGAGCGGCGCTCCGTCTCCGAGTGGCGCGCGCCCGTACCGACGTTGGCGCGTGCCCGTACGGACGTTGGCACGTGCCCGTACCGACGTTGGCGAGACGCGACGCGGCGAGCAGGCGGACGAGCTCGGGGGGCACGGGCGCGCCGTCGCGCACGTGTCCCGACATGAGCGCCAGCGGCGCCGCCTCCCACGCCCAGTTCTCCAGCATCTGCGACGGCGCCTCCACAAAGTCGCGCTCCACGTGGGTGCCGCTGAAGGCCGCGTAGTCAGCCTGCGCACGCACGCCGGGGTCGTCACCGGGGTCGTCGTTGGGGTTGTTGTTGGGGTTGTTGTTGGGGTTGTTGTTGGGGTTGTTGGGAGGAGCGAGGGGAGGGGGGAGGGGAGGAGGCGGGGGAGAGGGTGGAGCAGGGGGAGCGGGAGGAACGGAGGGAGGGGGGGGCAGACGGATAGGTGAACGGAAGGTCGTGCGTTCAGACGGACCAATGGGTGGACGGTCGTGCGCTCAGACACGGACAGACGGACAGACGGACGGGTGGATGGGCAGACGGACTAATGGGTGGACGGTCGTGCGTTCAGACACGGACAGACGGACAGACGGACGGGTGGATGGGCAGACGGACCAATGGGTGGACGGTCGTGCGTTCAGGCAGACAGAGGGACAGACGGACCGCGCCGGGCGTGCCCGCTCACCTGCGCGCAGACCGAGTGCATGACGTGTCCGAACTCGTGGAAGAAGGTCTCCACCTCGCTGTGCGTGAGCAGCGCGGGGACGTCGGCGGACGACGGGCGGCTGAAGTTGGCGACCATCGCCGCCACGGCGGGCTGCCGCTCGCCGCCGGGCAGCAGGCAGCCCGGCTGCAGCCCGAAGCAGGCGGCGTGGCCGTACTTGCCGTCGCTGCGGGGGGCGGGGGGGGGGTCGCAGGCGGGGTCGCGAGCGTCGGACAATCGGCCTCGCGTGTGTCTGTGTGCGCGAGCGTGCTAGTGTGTGTACGTGTGCGTTGACGTGAAATGCGTAGAGACCCAGAGAGACGCGCGACATCGATTTTAAATGTGGAGGGTGGAAAAACCGCAGGACCCGGAGGAAAATCCACGCGACCACGGGGAGAGAAAGAGAGAGACACCGCAAACTCCGAATATACAGCAGCAGCAGGCGTCGTCAGGGTCGGGATCGAACCCACGACCTCCTGCACACCAGGCGAGGTAGTTAACATCTCGCGCCCACCCCCTCTCACCCCATGCCCCTCCCCCTTTGTAACCCCCCCCCACCTCATGCCCCTTACCCCATGCCCCTCCCCCTCTGTAACCCCTCCCCTCCCACCCCCCACCCCATGCCCCGCCCCCTCTGTACCCCCCCCCCTCACCGTGGGTGCAGGTCGAGGTAGAAGTGACCGAGCAGGCGCTGGGAGGCGGCGTCGGTGACGCGGTAGAGCCGCACCTCCTCGTGCCAAGCCCCCGACGCCCCCCCCCCCTCCTCGCGCAGCTCGTAGCGAACGCCCAGCAGCTGCTCGTAGATGCCCAGCAGGCCCCGCGTCACCACCTGCACAGGGGGGGGGGGGGGGGGCACGGGGGGGGGGCACGGGGGGGGGGCACGGGGGGGGGGCACACGCGCAGAAATGTTTGCGTGAGTTACGTCAGCGCAGGTAGCGCGGCCGTGGCAGAGGTCGCAACCGGGTACCCGATACCCGTACCCTACCCGTACCCGGCCAGGTACGGGTAGGGTACGGGTACGGCCGGGTACGGGTACCCGTTTGCGACCCTGGTGCGGCCGGGTACAGGTACGGGTAAGGAATCAAAACCCGTTTGTGACCTCTGGGCACAACGCGGTGAGGTTGCGTGTGAGCGCCGTCGGGCCGCGGTGAGGTTGCGCTGCAGCTGCATCCGCAGCGCCGCCGGCCAGTTCGTTAAGGGTTGTCACGTGAACAGAACGTGGCCAATTCGTCAATAGTACAGCACGCCGGTGTAGTGTATAGTGTAGTGTATAGTGTAGTGTTTAGTAGTGTAGTGTATAGTGTAGTGTATAGTGTAGTATACTAGTACAGCACACCGGTGTAGTGTAGTGTATAGTGTAGTGTATAGTGTAGTGTATAGTGTAGTGTATAGTGTAGTGTACTAGTACAGCACACCGGTGTAGTGTAGTGTATAGTGTAGTGTAGTAGTGTAGTGTATAGTGTAGTGTGTAGTAGTGTAGTGTATAGTGTAGTGTATAGTGTAGTATACTAGTACAGCACACCGGTGTAGTGTAGTGTATAGTGTAGTGTATAGTGTAGTGTATAGTGTAGTGTATAGTGTAGTATACTAGTACAGCAACACAGGTTGTGTGTTGGAGAGCAAAGCCACAACATTCACAATCTGAGTACCGACGTTTCGCCAGCAATTACAACCAGCTTCATCAGGCGGACAGTGAAATCTGACTTTTATCGACCCGTAACCCCCCGGTTACCCCCTTCCCCCCCACAACAACATCTGGAAACACGTCAGCGCCCGCCGGCCCGCCATCACCTGCAGGGGGAAGTACTGCCGCAGGGCGTCGTGGTCCAACGTGAACCTCTCCTCCTCGACGCGGGTCGCGTAGTAGCGCAGGTCCCAGGCGTGCAGCGCTACCTCCCCTCCTCCTCCTCCCGTCTCCTCCCGCTTCAGCGCCAGCATCTCGGCGCGTTCGGCCGCTCCCAGCGGCGCCAGACGCTCCGCCAATTCGTCTGCTCCGACAGCGAAGAAGAAGGGACGTTATAACAGGGTCGTCGTTCCCGTTTTAATCCTGCATAATGCACGGGCGTAATACGACTTTGAAACCCCCCGCCCACCTCCTAGGCATTCCACAAGTAGTACTAATCACATACCTGCATTTCCCATAAATATGCTAAATTACTCTTGATATGCACATTTTTTGTCAAGGCGCTCTTCCCCCTCCAACCCAGCTTAAATATACGCTGCCAAGCCTGGTGGTGTTTCATTCGGACGCTGTCTTTCCGACAGACCTGTTCTTCACCTGAGGACGGCTGCTTGCGTTGCGGCCGAAACGTCGTGAGAATTGTATTTTATTGTGTTTTATTTTTATTATTTTATTATTTCCCCTCTACGTGACTTTACCGAAAGAACCAAGAAGAAGATGGTCGTTCCCCTTGTGTTTTCTGGCGACGAAACTGAAACCCTTTTGCAAGGGATCATGTTTATATGAACCACAATCCTTGCTGCAGTCAGAATGTAAGCAAAAAACAACACTCTGATACCATTGGAACCTCATTTGCCAGTAAAAAAATATGATAATTGTTTTTTTTACCCTTCTATCTGGCAACAAAACTGACACCTTTTTTTACAAGGAGTCATGTTTGCATAAACCACAATACCTGCAGTCGTAATGCAAACAAAAAACATAACTCTGATAATGTGCACTGTCCTTGAAGTTGATTGGTCCACACGCGAGACAGCTTTCCTTAGAGCCTAGTCTCAAATGGTGTTGGACCAGATGCACCTTTTGGCGTCAATGCACATTATCAGAGTTATGTTTTTTTTTGCATTATGACTGCAGGTATTGTGGTCTATGCAAACATGACTCCTTGTTAAAAAAAAGGTGTCAGTTTTGTTGCCAGATAAAAAGGGTATAAAAACAATTATCAACACTCTGATCATTTATGCACTGTCCTTGAAACTGATTGGTCCACACCAGAGACAACTTTCTTTAGAGCCGAGTCTCATGCGGCTCGGGATTGTTTTTGTGTCACGTCACGTTGTTGTGTGTCGCGTCGTGTTGTTGTGTGTCGTGTTGTGTTGTTGTGTGTCGTGTTGTGTTGTTGTGTGTCACGTGGTGTTGTGTTGTTGTGTGTTGTGTTGTTGTGTGTCGTGTCGTGTTGATGTGTGTCGTGTTGTTGTGTGTCGTGTTGTTGTGTGTCGTGTTGTTGTGTGTTGTGTCGTGTTGTTTTGTTGTGTTGTGTTGTTGTGTGTTGTGTCGTGTTGTTTTGTTGTGTTGTGTTGTTGTGTGTTGTGTCGTGTTGTGTTGTGTTGTTGTGTGTCGTGTCGTGTTGTTGTGTGTCGTGTTGTTGTGTGTCGTGTTGTTGTGTGTTGAGTCGTGTTGTGTTGTTGTGTTGTGTTGTTGTGTGTCGTGTTGTGTTGTTGTGTGTCGCGTCGTGTTGTTGTGTGTCGTGTTGTTGTGTGTCGCGTCGTGTTGTTGTGTGTCGCGTCGTGTTGCCGTGCATCGTCGTGCCGTCGCCATGCCGACGACGCACCCAGGAAGCGGTTGACGGCCGTCGCCGTCTTGGCCATGTTGAGCTCGACGGCGAAGTCGGCGTGCGACGCGAACGCCAGCAGCTGGGACTTGCGCCAGCGCAGCCTCAGCAGCTCCTCCAGGATCCGCGTGTTCGCCTGGGGCAAGCAGAGACAACGCTGCCCGTTGGGGCGGGCGCAAGGAACGCGCAGCACCCAGGCAGGCCGGCACTGCGCACTGTGGCACGCGAAGGGGGTGGGGGGGTGGCCGGGACCGCCGCGGCCGCCCGTCTTTGTCTCTCGCTTAGACACAGACCCACGTGGTACGCAAACACACAACAACAACAACACACACCCACTACACACACACACCAACACACACACACCCACTACACACACACACCAACACACACCCACTACACTACCACCACCACTCCCCCCACTACACCACCACCACCACTACACTACCACCACTCCCCCCACTACACCACCACCACTCCCCACTACACTACCACCACCACTCCCCACTACACTACCACCACCACTCCCCACTACACCACCACTACACTACCACCACTCCCCCCACTACACCACCACCCCTCCCCACTACACCACCACCGCCCCCCACTACACCACCACCGCTCCCCACTACACCACCACCGCTCCCCCCACTGCACCACCACCACTCCCCACTACACCACCACCACTCCCCACTACACCACCACCACTCCCCCCACTACACCACCACCACTCCCCACTACACCACCCCCCCCCCCCACCCCCCCACCCCCCCACCCCACCCCACCCCCCCCCACCCCCCCCACCCCCCCGCGGGTCACCTCGAGGCAGCGTGAGGTGAAGGCCCGCTCCATGCGAGCGCGCGTCTCCTCCACACTGCACTTCTTCATGAGCGGGAAGTAGTGCGGGTACTTGAGCGTCACCTTCAGGCGGCCGCCCCCCTCCGCCTGCTCCAGCGACGACACGAAGTCCGCGGGCATCCCCTCTGCGGGCGACAGAGACCACATCGCCCGGTCGCCAGAGGTCGCAAACGGGTTTTGATTCCTTACCCGTACCCGTACCCGGCCGCACCAGGGTCGCAAACGGGTACCCGCACCCGGCCGTACCCGTACCCTTACCCTTACCCGGGGACCTGATTGCGACCTCTGGGATGAAGCCATGTTGCAGGCGCGGGTGGGTTGATTCTAGGAACTTGAATCGTGAGAAGAGACAAGACGTTGGGAAATGAGTGACAAACGGTGACTCACCAGTGACTGACGGCCTACCCGTACCCGTACCCGGCCGCACCAGGGTCGCAAATGGGTACCCGGCTACCCGTACCCGGCCGGGTACCCGTACCCGGCCGGGTACGGGTAGCGGGGTATCGGGTAGGGTACGGGTATCGGGTACCCGGTTGCGACCTCTGCCGGTCACCCACCCGGGGGGTCGCTGCCCCCCCTCCCCGCCCCCCCCCACTCCCGCGTCGCCCTTTGACCTGTTCCGTCCCAGCGGTCCACTCACCCATCCACACGCTCACTCAACCAGCCACTCACTCACCTAGCCACTAACTCACCTAGCCACTCACTCACCTAGCCACTCACTCACCGAGCCACTCACTCACCTACTCACTCACCCAGCCACTCACTCACCTAGCCACTCACTCACCTAGCCACTCACTCACCTACTCACTCACCCACTTACCTACTCACTCACCAAACCACTCACTCACCCAGCCACTCACTCACCCAGCCACTCACTCACCTAGCCACTCACTCACCTACTCACTCACCCACTTACCTACTCACTCACCTAACCACTCACCCACCCACTCACTCACTCACCTACTCACTCACTCACCTAGCCACTCACCCACCCACTCACTCACTCACCTACCCACTCACTCACCTAGCCACTCACTCACCTAGCCACTCACTCACCTACTCACTCACCCACTTACCTACTCACTCACCTAACCACTCACCCAGCCACTCACTCACCGAGCCACTCACTCACCTAGCCACTCACTCACCTACTCACTCACCCACTTACCTACTCACTCACCTACCCACTCACCCAGCCACTCACTCACTGAGCCACTCACTCACTTACTCATCCACTTACCTACTCACTCACCAAACCACTCACTCACACAGCCACTCACTCACCCAGCCACTCACTCACCCAGCCACTCACTCACTTACTCACTCACTCACCCACTTACCTACTCACTCACCTAACCACTCACCCACCCACTCACTCACTCACCTAGCCACTCACTCACCTAACCACTCACCCACCCACTCACTCACTCACCCAGCCACTCACTCACCTAGCCACTCACTCACCTAGCCACTCACTCACCTACTCACTCACCCACTTACCTACTCACTCACCTAACCACTCACTCACCCAGCCACTCACTCACCCACTCACTCACTCACCCACCCACTCACTCACCTAGCCACTCACTCACCTAGCCACTCACCTAGCCACTCACTCACCCACTTACCTACTCACTCACCTTTCCATTCACTCACTCACTCACTCACGCAACCACTTACCTACTAACCCATCTATCCACTCACCTACTCACCGACCCATTCATCGACGGACTCACCTACCCGCTCACCTACCCACTCACTCACCTACCCACTCACCCACCCACTCACCTACCCACTCACCTGCCCACTCACCCCACCCACTCACCTACTCACCCCACCCACTCACCTACCCACTCACCCCCACACTCACCCGCCCACTCACCCACCCACTCACCCCCGCACTCACCCACTCACTCACCCCTGCCACTCACCCACCCACTCACCTACTCACTCACCCACCCACTCACCCCCGCACTCACCCACTCAATCACCCACTCACTCACCTACTCACTCACCCACTCACCTACCCACTCACCTCCTCAGCCCCCCCCCCCCCCGTCGCACTCTCCCCAAAACGTACTCAGCTCTTCAGTGGTGAACTCCAGGAAGGAGTTGTCTTCGGTGAGGTTGGTGTGGAAGTCGATGCACAGACTGGAAATCTTCTCCTTGATCGCCTTGATCTCCTGGCGGATGGCACAGCGAGTCGCTCGATTAAAACTACTCAACTATACGGGGCGACACTCCGCTACTTACAAACTTTCAGAGATACGAACAAACCTGGAACGTACGTCCAGTTGCCGGTTCGGACCGAGGGTCGTGAGTTCAACCGCCGCACAATAGATGGCGGTGGTGGCATCTACATCTACAGAACGTGAAGAACCAGTGGCATCTACATCTGCAGAACGTGAAGAACCAGTGGCATCTACATCTGCAGAACGTGAAGAACCAGTGGCATCTACATCTGCAGAATGTGAAGAACCAGTGGCATCTACATCTACAGAACGTGAAGAACCAGTGGCATCTACATCTGCAGAACGTGAAGAACCAGTGGCATCTACATCTACAGAACGTGAAGAACCAGTGGCATCTACATCTGCAGAACGTGACGAACCTGTGGCATCTACATCTGCAGAACGTGAAGAACCAGTGGCATCTACATCTGCAGAACGTGAAGAACCAGTGGCATCTACATCTACAGAACGTGAAGAACCAGTGGCATCTACATCTGCAGAACGTGAAGAACCAGTGGCATCTACATCTACAGAACGTGAAGAACCAGTGGCATCTACATCTGCAGAACGTGAAGAACCAGTGGCATCTACATCTGCAGAACGTGAAGAACCAGTGGCATCTACATCTGCAGAACGTGACGAACCTGTGGCATCTACATCTGCAGAACGTTAAGAACCAGTGGCATCTACATCTGCAGAACGTGAAGAACCAGTGACATCTACATCTGCAGAACGTGAAGAACCAGTGGCATCTACATCTACAGAACGTGAAGAACCAGTGGCATCTACATCTACAGAACATGAAGAACCAGTGGCATCTACATCTACAGAACGTGAAGAACCAGTGGCATCTACATCTGCGGAACGTGAAGAACCAGTGACATCTACATCTGCAGAACGTTAAGAAGCAGTGGCATCTACATCTGCAGAACGTTAAGAACCAGTGGCATCTACATCTGCAGAACGTGAAGAACCAGTGGCATCTACATCTACAGAACGTGAAGAACCAGTGGCATCTACATCTACAGAACATGAAGAACCAGTGGCATCTACATCTACAGAACGTGAAGAACCAGTGGCATCTACATCTGCGGAACGTGAAGAACCAGTGACATCTACATCTGCAGAACGTTAAGAAGCAGTGGCATCTACATCTGCAGAACGTTAAGAACCAGTGGCATCTACATCTGCAGAACGTGAAGAACCAGTAGCATCTACATCTACAGAACGTGAAGAACCAGTGGCATCTACATCTACAGAACATGAAGAACCAGTGGCATCTACATCTACAGAACGCGAAGAACCAGTGGCATCTACATCTACAGAACATGAAGAACCAGTGGCATCTACATCTGCAGAACGTGAAGAACCAGTGGCATCTACATCTGCAGAACGTGAAGAACCAGTGGCACCTACATCTGCAGAACGTGAAGAACCAGTGGCACCTACATCTGCAGAACGTGAAGAACCAGTGGCACCTACATCTGCAGAACGTGAAGAACTAGTGCCATCTACAGGAGATTATACAACTTTTAAAGCCATTCCCCGTGTTTAGTGTACATGCCGTACAACATGTTTGGAATCGACAGGAGTAAAGTTGGACTTAAGAACAAATCGACTTACGAACAGACACCTCTGGAACCTAACTCGTTTGTAAGTTGTTTCTATTTATATTTTACCAGGTAAGATACCCACTGAACTAAGTGGCTCTTTTTCAAAAGCAACCTGAGAATCACAAACGTCAGCTCAACGAAGTTGCTTATCATCATGTGGACATTGACAGCAGCCAAGTACACTCAACGCGCGATGTTGATTCCAAATGAGGAGGGGGAAAAACCGGAGGACCCGGAGAAAACTCCACGCAACCACAGGGAGAGAGAGGCATCGTCAGGGTTGAGATAGAACCCACGACCTCCTGCATACCAGGCGAGGGAGTTAACATCTCGCAACTGTGATGATGATGATGATGAGAGAGAGACACCGCAAACTCCAAATAAACATCAGCAGGCATCGTCAGGGTCGGGATCGAACCCATGACCTCCTGTATACCAGGTGATGTAGTCAAAATCTCTTAGCCACCGTGATGGTGATGATGAGAGAGACACGCAAACTCCAAATATACAGCAGCAGCAGGCATCGTCAGGGTCGGAATCGAACCCATGACCTCCTGTATACCAGGTGATGTAGTCAAAATCTCTTAGCCACCGTGATGGTGATGATGAGAGAGACACGCAAACTCCAAGTATACAGTAGCAGGCATCGTCAGGGTCGGAATCAGAACCCGCAACCTCCTGTATACCAGGCGAGGTAGTCAACATCTCGCAACTGTGATGATGATGAAGATGAGAAAGAGACATTTTTTTACTACAAATATACAGCAGCAGGCATCGTCAGGGTCGGAATCAGAACCAACGACCTCCTGCATACCAGGCGAGGTAGTTAACATCTCGCAACTGTGATGATGATGATGATGAGAAAGAGACATTTTTTAACTCCAAATATACAGCAGCAGGCATCGTCAGGATCGGAATTGAACCCACGACCTCCTGCATACCAGGCGAGGTAGTCAACATCTCGCAACTGTGATGATGATGATGATGAGAAAGAGACATTTTTTAACTCCAAATATACATCAGCAGGCATCGTCAGGGTCGGAATCGGAACCCACGACCTCCTGTATACCAGGCAAGGGCGATAACATCTCCTAGTCACCGTGGTGATGATGAGAGAGAGAGACACGCAGACTCCAAATATACAGCAGCAAGCATCGTCAATGTCGGGATTGAACCCACGACCTCCTGTATACCAGGCGAGGTAGTCGACATCTCCTTGCCACCGTGGTCATGATGAGAGAGAGACACGCAAACTCCAAATATACATCAGCAAGCATCGTCAGGGTCGGAATCAGAACCAACAACCTCCTGCGTACCAGGCGAGGTAGTCAACATCTCGCCACTCACCCCCGCCGAGACTACGGGGCTGTAAGAGGATCCCGACCGCCACGGCCGTGGAAGCGTTAAACGCGCGACCTTCGATTAGCGCGCCGTAATTGCGCGTGGGGGAAATTAGCGCCGTTGAATGACGCGGGAAAATTGCGGGGCGCGTACCATCCCACCACTCCCCTCCCTACGAGGTCACCACCACCACCACCACAACGCCACCACAACGCCACCACAACTGCCACCACAACGCCACCACTAACGCCACCACCACCAGGACTGCAACCACTACCGCTACTGCTGCTGCTACCATTGAGACCCTCACCACCATCCGCCACTACAAACGCTACCACCACCACTACCATCAAGACCACCAATACCATCACCTCCATCATCACCATCATCTCACCACCACCACCACAAAACTATCCCTAATCACCATCACCACCTTCAGATCATCACCACCACCGTCACCGCCACCGCCACCACCTTCTTCTCATCACCACCACCACCAACCACCACAATCACCACTACCGGCAACACCATCACCACCGTTGCCATCTAATCACCACAACCACCACCGTCACCGCCACCACCTTCTCATCACCACCACCACCACCTTCTTCTCATCACCACCACCACCTTCTCATCACCACCACCAACCACCATCATCACCACTACCGGCAACACCATCACCACCGTTGTCATCTAATCACCACAACCACCACCGTCACCCGCCACCACCTTCTCATCACCACCACCACCATCATCACTACCGGCAACACCATCGCCACCGTTGCTATCTAACCACCACCGTCACCGCCACCACCACCACCATCACCTTCTCATCACCACCACCAACCACCACCATCACCACTAACGGCAACACCATCACCACCGTTGCCATCTCACCACCACCGTCACTGTCACCGCCACCACCTTCTCATCACCACTACCAACCACCACCATCACCACTAACGGCAACACCATCACCACCATTGTCATCTAATCACCACAACCACCACCGTCACCACCACCGTCATCTCACCACCAACCACCACCAACCACCACCACCACCACCCTCTCTCCGGCGTGGACTCACGGCCTGCTTGTCGCCCGGCAGGTGCAGCCCGTTGCGCCGCCCGGTCTTGACGAGGCGGTCCAGGAGCCGCCGCCCCTCGGCGGTGATGACGCCGCCGGCATCGGCGTCGTCGCCGGCGTGCCGGGCGAGGAGGCGCGCCTGCAGCGCGGCGAGGCGCCGGTGCACGTCCTCGCGCATCGCCGCCTCCACGTCGAACAGCGACAGGCGCTTGTCGGCGCGCGTGCTGGCCTCGCGCACGGCGCGCGACGGAGACACGTGCTGCAGGAAGTCCAGCTGGTTGCGCCCGACTGCGGCGCGCAGAGAGGGGGGGGGGCAGAGAGAGAGCGCGGGGGCGGGGGGGAGGCAGGGAGAGAGCGGGGGGGGGGGGGGAGCAGAGAGGATTGTTATTGTTAATAGTTGCACAGTGATGATGGTTCACATTCTCACCGCTACTACTTTCACCACTCTCACCACCACCACTACCACTCTCACCACTCTCACTTTCACCACCACCACCCTCACCACCACCACCACCACACTCACCACCACCACCACCACCGCCACACCCACCACTCTCACCACCATCACCACCACCCTCACCACTCTGACCACCACCACTCTCACCACCACCACCACACTCACCACCACCACTCTCACCACCACCACCTCATCACCCTCACCACCCTCACCACCACCCTCATCACCACCACCACACTCACCACCCTCACCAACACCTCACCACCACACTCACCCTCACCACCACCCTCACCACCACCACCACACTCACCACACTCACCACACTCACCACCACCACCACCCTCACCGGCGTAGGCGTTGGCAGAGTCGGCGAGGGGCTTGAGGACGCTGGCGACGGTGACGTCCGCCAGCGGCACGGCCGCCACGGCGTCGTGCGCCGCTTTGGCGGCGGCGATCACCTCGTCGGTGAGGCCGTCCACCTCCGCTGCCGCCACGTTCCAGCGCAGCAGAATCTCCGGGACGACGCCAGCGTCCTTCACGTGCGACGGACCCATCGCTCTGCGGGGGGAGGGGGGGGGCAAACCGGGGCGGGGGAGGGGGCACGCGGCGGTGACGAGATGTTAACTACCTCGCCTGGTCTGCAGGAGGTCGTGGGTTCCATCATTATCCTGACGATGCCTGCTGCTGTTGCGAGATGTTAACTACCTCGCCTGGTCTGCAGGAGGTCGTGGGTTCCATCATTATCCTGACGATGCCTGCTGCTGCTGTATATTTGGAGTTTGCGGTGTTTCTCTCTATCATCATCATCATCACAGTTGCGAGATGTTAACTACCTCGCCCGGTCTGCAGGAGGTTGTTGGTTCGATCCCGACCCTGTTTTTGGAGTCTTCCTGTTCTCCGTGTATCTCTGCGGGTCTCCATTAATCCTACGGGTCTCCATGTGCCTCTGTGACAAGCGGTGGTGGTGAGATGTTAACTCCCTCGCCCGGTCTGCAGGAGGTTGTGGGTTCGATCCCGAATTTGCGGTGTCTCTTTTCCTCCGGGATTCTCTGGTGTTGCCCCTCCACATTTAGAATCGATGTCGCGCGCGGCTCCAAATAAGGAACGAAACAGGAGGGCTTCTCCACAAATCTGGCTGTCGCCTGATGAAGCTGGTTGTAATTGCTGGCGAAACGTCGTACTCAGATTGTAAATGTTGTGGCTTGGCTCTCCAACACACAACCGGTGTGCTGTACTAGTATACTACACTATACACTACACTATACACTACACTACTATACACTACACTACTACACACTACACTATACACTACTACACTACTACACATTACACTATACAATACTATACATTACACTATACACTACACTACTACAACTACACTATACACTACACTATACACTACTATACACAATACACTACACTATGCACGACTATACACAATACACTACACACTTCACTATTACACACTACACTACACTATACACTACACTACTATACACAATACACTACACTATACACTACTATACACTATACACTACACTATACACTACTATACACAATACACTACACTAAATGTTTTCTCCTACAACAACAGAGTGCAGCGCCACATTAAACACGCACTACAATGCCAATAGTTTAAATCGATTTGAAGCAAGTTTTTTTTTTGGGGGGGGGGGGGGCAGAGCTTTGTGACGTCATATTTGAGGGGGGGGGGGTCTGACTTTTTGTGACGCCGTGTGACGAGGGGGGGGGGGGGTCAAAAGTCGTCCCAAACCACGTGACCCCCTCCCCCCGTCCTCACTCACAGCCACTTGCCCCTACGGTCTGTTAGAGGCTACGCTGGGGGGAGGGGATCTTTGTCTTTGTCTTGGGACCAAACTGCCGCCGGGCAATGCGTGAGGGGGGTTACGGGTGGGGGGGTGTGAGTGGGGGAGTGGGGGGGTTGGTGGTTGGGGAGTGGTGGGGGAGTGGGGGGGTTGGTGGGGGGGGGTGTGGGTGTGATTGGGGGAGTGGGGGGGTTGGTGGGTTGGTGGGGGGGGGGTGGTTGGGGGTGGGGCGGTTGGTGGGGGGGGGTGGGGGTGTGGGTGGGGGAGGGTTGGTGGGGGGGGTGGGGCGTTTGGTGGGGGGGGGGGTGGGGGTGGGGCGGTTGGTGGGGGGGTTGGTGGGGGGAATTGGTGGGGGGGTTGGTGGGGGGGTTGGTGGGGGGGTGGGGAGGGTGGGGGGGTTGGTGGGGGGGTTAGTGGTGGGGGGCGGGGGGATTGGTGGGGGTGGTGGGGGAGTTGGTGGGGGGGTGGGGGGGTTGGTGGGAGGGTGGTTGGGGGTGGGGCGGTTGGTGGGGGGTTAGTGGGGGGTTGGTGGGAGGGTTGGTGGGGGGGTTGTGGTGGGGGTGGTGGGGGGGGGGTGGGGGAGTGGTGGGGGGGGTGAGGGGTTGGTGGGGGGGTTGTGGTGGGGGTGGTGGGGGGGGGTGGGGGAGTGGTGGGGGGGGTGAGGGGTTGGTGGGGGGGTTGGTGGGGGGGGTTGGCGGGGGGGTAGTGGGGGGGGTGACCTCCTTGCCTGCCCGGGCTGACGACGCTGCAACTCGCGGGGGTCGAGGGAGCGAGTTGAGGAGGAGACGTCGTTAGTGGCGGCGGCGGCGCTGAGGAGACGGCGCTGAGGAGACGGAGCGGCGAATTAAGGAGGAGACGGAGCGGGCGAGACGACGGAGCGGGACGGAGGAGACGGAGCGGCGAATTGAGGAGGAGGAGACGGAGCGGACGGAGCCCAACGCGAAGAGCCGACAGCAGCATGTGGCGGATCGATTCCTCTCGCCGGCGTCGATCCGAGCGCGTCGATTCTTTTTCGCGGTGTCGATTCTCATCGATGTACTGACCTGGCTGGGTGGTGTTTGTGTGTGTCGTGGTTTGTGTGTCTGGGACTTGCTGGTGGTGTTGGTGTCTTGCTTGCCCAAGCTTGGGGATTGGTGGACTTTAGCAAGTTGTCATTTAGTAACTTTCATCCTGAGTCAACCCCCCATCCCCCAGTTCGTTCTCGATTTGAAGTTTTCGTGCAATATTTTGCTGTCTTTTCTTGGATTTTCTGTTTGCACTTAGTCACATATTCACTTTAAGATGTTGTTTTAACAGACAACGAGACAAGAAGTCGTTTAATGTTTTACTTGCGGTGACTTTACCGATGAAACCAGAGAGTATGACCCCCCCCCAACCACCACCACCCCATGTGTTTTCTAGAGTTCAACTTTAAGGGGTCAATTCTCATCGATGTACTGACGGCTGGGTGGTGTTTGTGTCGTGGTTTGTGTGTCTGTGACTGGCTGGTGATGTTGGTGTCTTGCTTGCCCAAGCTTGGGGATTGGTGGACTTTAGCAAGATGCTGGATGCAATTACCAGCGAAACGTCGTACTACTCAAATTGTAAATTGTTGTGGTTTCACACTTCAACACACCGGTGGGCTAAAGCAGTGAACTATTTGTCTTTTGTCAACGTGACACTTTTTTACTGATTGGCCGTGTCGGGTGGTGGAGGGTTACGACACATTTATAAATAACGCGATCTAAACCCAAAAACGTTGATTATGAATTTGTCATTTAGTAACTTTCATCCTGAGTCAACCCCCCACCCCCACCCCCCGTTCTCGATTTGAAGTTTTCGTACAATATTTTGCTGTCTTTTCTTGGATTTTCTGTTTGCACTTAGTCACATATTCACTTTAAGATGTTTTTTGTTCGTGTTTTTTGTTTGCTGCGGTTGCACCCGATTCAAGAGCCGAATGGCTCACAGGGCTACACCTGATACATGAACTTGAACTTGACTTCAAGGATTCATACTTTTGGAGTTTTGCTGGTGATGTTGGTGTCTTGCCCAAGCTTGGGGATTTCTGGATTTGAGCAAATTGTCAATTAGTAACTTTCATCCTGAGTCCCCCCCCCCCCCCCACCCGTTCTAGATTTGAAGTTTTCGTGCAATATTTTATTTTGCCGTGTGACGAAGGGGGGGGGGGGGGGGGCAAAAATCGTCCAAAATCGCGTGACGTCATTTATGGACGGTCCCTTTTGTGTTTCTCCCTTGTGATTGGACTTCATAGGGTGAACGTTGAGATTTATAAAGGGGCACGGGGCTGACCAATATGTTCTTAGGTGTTTTCGGTAAAGTCACGTAGGTAAAACATTAAAATTAATAAAAGTAAAATAAAATAAAAATCACGACGTTTCGGAGGCAACACAAGTCTTCGTCATCAGGTGGAACCGTCACAGCCACGACAGCTGTATCAAGTAAATGAGAGATTGCAAGAGCTACCACTCCAACCATTATATAAACGGAGTGGTAGCTCCTGCAATCTCTCATTCACTTGATACAGCTGTCGTGGCTGTGACGGTTCCACCTGAAGACGGAAGCTTGTGTTGCCTCCGAAACGTCGTGATTTTTATTTTATTTTACTTTTATTAATTTTAATATTTTACCTACGTGACTTTACCGAAAAAACCTAAGAATATGAATCCTTGCAGTCACGAAAGCTTCAAATCTAGAACTGACCAATATGGTCTGAATGTGTCTGTGATAATGTATTTGCGCTCTCTCTCTCACCGTGTTGATCGCGTGTTTACTCACCCACCACCACCACCCCTCCACATTTAGAATCAACATCACGCCGTTTTAAAAATAAGTCATTTAAAAATACTTTTTTAGAAACACGCTTTAATGAAATGTACACTACTGGTAATGGAAGAACTCCACGACTCCACGAAGTGGCCCCGAAGCTTGCCACAACGTGATTTACAGCCAACGTGTGGACAATTAGACCCAAGCCGAAACATAACATGTAAAAAATGTTTAAAAATATGTATTTTAATGGTAGAATATAGTATTGTCATCAGTATGACATAAGTATACCAAGTCTGCAGTCGATACCGCATTGGGAAGTGGGTTAAAATTTAGTTACAAGATGTGAGGACACAACAACAGAGTGAGTTAATAGAAACCGTGTAAAAAGAGCGTTTAAACATTCATTAAAAAATGTATGATAGAATATAGTATTGTCATCAGTAAGACATAAGTATACCAAGTTTGCAGTCAATGCCACATTGGGAAGTGGGTTAAACTTTAGTTACAAATTGAGGATACGACAACAGACAGAGTGAGTTAAATAAAAAGCGCGTAAAAGATTGTTTAAAAATATATTTTTTATGATGAAATATAGTGTTGTCATCAGTATGACATAAGTATACGAAGTTTGCACATTGGGAAGTTGGTTAAAATTGAGTTACAAATTGAGGATACGACAACAACAGACAGAGTGAGTTAATAGAAAGCGTGTAAAAAGATTGTTTAAAAATCCATTCACATTTTAATGATAGAATATAGTATTGTCATCAGTAAGACATAACTATACCAAGTTTGCAGTCGATAGCACATTGGGAAGTGGGTTAAAATTTAGTTACAAGATTTGAGAATACAACAACAGAGTGAGTTAATAGAAAGCGTGTAAAAAGATTGTTTAAAAATCCATTTAAAATTTTTTATGAAAGAATATAGTATTCATTTTCTTGGTTCTTTCGGTAAAGTCACGTAGAATAGAAATAATAAAATAATAAAACATAATAAAATAATTCTCACGACGTTTCGGCCACAACGCAAGCAGCCGTCCTCAGGTGAAAAACAGGTCTGTCAGAAAGACAGCGTCTGAGTATTGTCATCAGTAAGACATAACTATACGAAGTTTGCAGTCGATACCGCATTGGGAAGTGGGTTAAACTTTAGTTACAACATTTGAGGATACGACAACAACAGACAGAGTGAGTTAAATAAAAGCTTGTAATAAAATAATAAAAAATGAGAGTTAATTTGGCTCCTGCCATACACAACAATTCCCATGCGAAAAGTCCTCTTCGTCGTCGCTATCATCATTTGCGACGGCCCAGGTCACTTCCCTGAAAGAATAATGGCAACGTAGCCTCAGTGGGAACTTTGTACCTTGTAAAATACATAGACTTGTTGCTAAATCGTTACCTCCAAGCATTTCCATGTAAACCTCAACACATGGCAAAACATCTTTTCCAAGAATCGAAATCGAATCGATTCCGCGGTGGATCGCGTGGAGTCGTTAGAGGAATCGATCCTTGCCCGGGGGGTGGGTTGACAAAGGTACCCCGTGTAGCCTTCGCCGACTCTAGGGGCAAGTGGCTGTGAGCGAGTAGCAGCTACACCTGCGGGTTTACTCGTTTGAGGCCGAGTCGACCTAGGTGGAGGCCCGCGAACCGGTTCGGAGAATCCGTCACCGCCTTGTCCGGTGGCCGTGAGCGGGAATGGAACGATGGGGCGCGCTAACCGCTGCGCCACCACTCCCCACCGCGTGCCTTTGGCCCTCCATTCCTCAAGAGCTGATCGCCTTGTTTGAGAGGGAGTGGGGCTGGGTGGGTGTGGGTGGGGCTGGGTGGTGTGAGTGGGGCTGGGTGGGTGTTGGTGGGGATGGGGTGTGTAGGTGGGGCTGGGTGGTGGGGCTGGGTGGAGTGGGTGGGGCTGGGTGGTGTGAGTGGGGCTGGGTGGTGTGGGTGTGTGAGTGGGGCTGGGTGGTGTGGGTGGGGCTGGGTGGTGTTAGTGGGGCTGGGTAGTGTGGGTGGGGCTGGGTGGTGTGGGTGGGGATGGGTGGTGTTAGTGGGGCTGGGTGGTGTGGGTGGGGCTGGGTGGTGGGGGTGGGGCTGGGTGGTGGGGGTGGGTGGTGTGAGTGGGGCTGGGTGGTGTGGGTGGGGCTGGGTGGTGGGGCTGGGTGGTGGGGCTGGGTGGTGTGAGTGGGGATGGGTGGTGTGGGTGGGGATGGGTGGTGGGAGTGGGGCTGGGTGGTGTGGGTGGGGCTGGGTGGTGGGGCTGGGTGGTGTGAGTGGGGCTGGGTGGTGTGGATGGGTGGTGGGAGTGGGGCTGGGTGGTGTGGGTGGGGCTGGGTGGTGTGGATGGGTGGTGGGGCTGGGTGGTGTGGGTTGGGCTGGGTGGTGTGGGTGGGGCTGGGTGGTGGGGCTGGGTGGTGTGAGTGGGGCTGGGTGGGTGTTGGTGGGGATGGGGTGTGTAGGTGGGGCTGGGTGGTGGGGCTGGGTGGAGTGGGTGGGGCTGGGTGGTGTGAGTGGGGCTGGGTGGTGTGGGTGTGTGAGTGGGGCTGGGTGGTGTGGGTGGGGCTGGGTGGTGTTAGTGGGGCTGGGTAGTGTGGGTGGGGCTGGGTGGTGTGGGTGGGGATGGGTGGTGTTAGTGGGGCTGGGTGGTGTGGGTGGGGCTGGGTGGTGGGGGTGGGGCTGGGTGGTGGGGGTGGGGATGGGTGGTGGGAGTGGGGCTGGGTGGTGTTAGAGGGGCTGGGTGGTGGGGCAGGGTGGTGTGGGTGGGGCTGGGTGGTGGGGCTGGGTGGTGTGAGTGGGGCTGGGTGGTGTGGGTGGGGCTGGGTGGTGGGGCTGGGTGGTGGGGCTGGGTGGTGTGAGTGGGGATGGGTGGTGTGGGTGGGGATGGGTGGTGGGAGTGGGGCTGGGTGGTGTGGGTGGGGCTGGGTGGTGGGGCTGGGTGGTGTGGATGGGTGGTGGGAGTGGGGCTGGGTGGTGTGGGTGGGGCTGGGTGGTGTGGATGGGTGGTGGGGCTGGGTGGTGTGGGTTGGGCTGGGTGGTGTGGGTGGGGCTGGGTGGTGTGAGTGGGGCTGGGTGGTGTGGATGGGTGGTGTGGGTGGGGATGGGTGGTGGGAGTGGGGCTGGGTGGTGTGGGTGGGGCTGGGTGGTGTGGATGGGTGGTGGGGCTGGGTGGTGTGGGTGGGGCTGGGTGGTGTTAGTGGGGCTGGGTGGTGGGGCAGGGTGGTGTGAGTGGGGCTGGGTGGTGTGGGTTGGGGCTGGTGGGTGGTGGTCACGTGACGTAGGGAGAGCGATCCCATCGAGTGACGTTGGAGAACAAAAAAAATGGAACGCTGTGACGTCATCGTCCGCGTCGCCCCGCCCCCTAAACACCATTCGGTGACGTCGCCACAGCCCCTGTGCCAGGCCACGTGCACTTTGAGGCTGCCACGTGAAGTGTCGAAGGCTCGCTGCTGGCAGGTCACGGGACAGACCCAGGTGCCGTGGGTTGGCTGACTGAGATGACCGGTAGATGCACCACCAGCTGTACCAGGCTAGGTGCCGTGGGTTGGCTGAGATGACTGGTAGATGCACCACCAGCTGTACCAGGCTAGGTGCAGGAGGGTCTCGGGACAGACCCAGGTGCCATGGGTTGGCCGACTGAGATGACCAGTAGATGCACCACCAGCTGTACCAGGCTGGGTGCATGTCTCGGGACAGACCCAGGTGCCATGGGCTGGCTGACTGAGATGACCGGTAGATGCACCACCAGCTGTACCAGGCTAGGTGCAGGTCTCGGGACAGACCCAGGTGCCATGGGTTGGCCGACTGAGATGACCGGTAGATGCACCACCAGCTGTACCAGGCTGGGTGCATGTCTCGGGACAGACCCAGGTGCCATGGGCTGGCTGACTGAGATGACCGGTAGATGCACCACCAGCTGTACCAGGCTAGGTGCAGGTCTCGGGACAGACCCAGGTGCCATGGGTTGTCTCGGGTGTGGACCAATCAACTTCAAGGACAGTGCATATCATTATAATCATCAGAGTTGTTTATTTTTGTTTGCATTTTGACTGCTTGTGTTGTGGTTATTGCAAACATGATGCCTTGTATAGAGGTGTCAGTTTTTGTACCAGTTGAAAGGGTAAAAACCTATCACTATATTTTGCCACTGGTAAAGGAGGTCTCGTAGTGTAAATGCTTACCCCGAGCTTTTAATACTCTGATAGTGCGCTGTCTTTGAGTTGTACGCCTTTTGGCGTCATCTGGTCCAACACCAAGTGAGACTAGGCTCTAAGAAAAGCTGTCTCGGGTGTGGACCAATCAACTTCAAGGACAGTGCTTATCATTATCAGAGTTGTTTCTTTTTGTTTGCATTTTGACTGCTTGTGGTTATAGCAAACATGATCCGTTGTATAAAGGTGTCAGTTTTTGTACCAGATAAAAGGGTAAAAACCTATTACTAAACGTGTTTGGGTTAGATCGCGTTATTTATAAATGTGTCGTAACCCTCCACCACCCGACATGGCCAATCAGCAAAAAAAAAGTGTCACGTTGACAAAAGACAAATACCATTGGAACCTCATTTGCCAGTAAAAAATATGATAATAGTTTTTTACCCTTCTATCTGGCAACAAAACTGACATTTTTTACAAGGAATCATGTTTACATAGACCACAATACCTGCAGCAATCATGTTTTTTGTTTGCATTATGGCTGCAGGTATTGTGGTCTATGCAAACATGACTCCTTATAAAAAAGGTGTCAGTTTTGTTGCCAGATAGAAGGGTAAAAAACCAATTATCAAAAGACAAATAGTTCACTACTTTAGCCCACCGGTGTGTTGAGGAGTGAATCCACAACATTTGCAATTTTTGACTCGTACGACGTTTCGCCGGTAATTACATCCAGCATCATCGGGCAATTCGACCAGAATGAGGAACTCTGTAGGCCGAGCCAACGCATCTGGGTGCACGAGTTTGTCAAAGGAGGCAATGACATCGACCGATGCAAGCAACACGAGGACAGGCGGTCGAGGAAGACTGTGTAAAATACTTTAATGTCACTACATTTCGTTTACGCTGGAAAGCCGTCGCAAAGCCTCGCTTTCGCGCGTCAATAAACCCCCGCCCCCCGCCGCCCCCGCAAGTCAACCCTCGGCAAGAGATCTCAGTGTTAGCGGTGGGAGGGCAACGGAGGCGATTACAAACATAGGGTAACAGCAACGGGGGGGGGGGGGGGGGGGGAGGTTATGGCACTGGGCAAACGCCTCGGCAATGTGCGGTCAAATAAACCGCACGAAAGTGGTAAGGGGGCCTCATCATCCAGCAGCGGAGATTGACCGCGCGCGTGTTTGCATCGCGTGCCCGTCCGCAACGATACTTGGGTTGCAACATGAGTCGAGCGGGCCACGTCCGTGGTGACACTGCACCGCGAGAGAGAGGAGAGGGGGGGAGCATAGCTTCGCCACGTGACGCGAGGTCCATGTGACGGCTTTCGATCCGAGGGGTCGTGGGGGGAGGGAACACTTCTGGAAAACAACGCAAGGCACTTAGGGTAGTTAGCTTGTTTTTGTTTTGTGTGTTACGGTTCGCGACGAACACCCTCGCCCCCTTCGCTCACTAAGCACGCTGCTAACGTGATGCTCTACGTGTAAAAAAAATCGAAACGGCAAACTACCTTTATGTCATCGTAACGGACGTAAATGTATTAATTTACGCGAGCTACAAAAGCTAATGTTCTACCGTTATATAAAAAATGATATATATTTAATGCTACCTCAGGGGTAGTAACCGATGTACCAACACGATGCTCCTTGATGCACTAAAAAAACTAAAAAAAAACTATCGTATGTAGTACAAGACAGAAATGTTCCGCGAGTACGTACAACGCTACTTACGCGCATTAAGGCAACCGCATCCTGCTTACTTGAGGCAAAAGAAGACAAATCGACCTAAAAACTACTGCTGTTCCACTCCAACCAAAGTATAAATATTCCCCACTTCCGCTGTGAAATGTGAACTCGATGTTGTGCCGTGTGTGGAAGCGACGACGAAGATGATGGACACGTAGCGATTTGGCAACTTAAAATCGAATCTTAAAGCCGGGTTCCCCACACCCGAGCGGATCAGCTGCTGCGACCAAACGGCTTTCGAATTCGCGGCAAACTTAATCGTCGCCCGCGACTGCTTTGTCCGCATCTGAGCAAATAGTTGTGCCAAAAAACATGTCAACGTGATGAAATACTACGAGAGGTTTTTTTGGGGGGTTAGATCGCGCGTATAGATATAAATGTGTCGTGAAAACCGCCACCACCCGACACAGCCAATTAGTAGTAAGGTCCGTCACGTAAAAAAGAACGTGGCAATTCGTCACCAGTTTTGTTTGCGAATTGGCCGTGTCGGGTCGTGGCGGGTTTAAACGACGCATTTATATTTGCGAAGATCTAACACGAAAAAAACATTTTGTGGATAACATTGCTTGCCAAAGTCATGCTAAGCGTGATGAAATACAGCGCTTTGAATCGCTGAGCTGATCGATTTAAAGTAGAGATAATTTTAATAACGATGAACTATTTTTTATTTTACCAGGTAAGGCCTCGCTGTCGCGAACGATAGCTCGGCGAAACGGCTTATCGTTGTGTGGAAATTTATGGCGGTTTCTGAATGTGACGGGGAAAAACCGGAGGACCCGGAGAAAAATCCACACGACCACGGGGAGAACACGGAAACTCCCAAATATACAGCAGGCGTCAGGGTCGGGATCGAACCCAGCACCTCCTGTATACAAGGCAAGGTAGTGAACATCTCGCCAACGTGGCGCCCAATGATGTCCACGCGCAAGGGATTACGTTGCATGCAACAAAGTTGCACGGCAGACGGCTCAGGCGTGGACCCCGTTTGCTTTAACACGTCACGATTCAAGTTGTCCGCGGTGTGCGTAAGAGGGGAAAAAGTGTTTGCGATTTGCGCAAGTTCGCGCCACTATGAAGTCCAACCTACAATCCGCGACTTGATTTCTCACAGTCTGCGGCCACTCGAGGCCTACCAACAACTTCGGGGCTGCCACCCTACAGAGGTACAAAAACTGGGGCGCGCGTCACGGGGATAAAAATATGCCACGATCCTGGAAGAGGGGGGAAACTGCATTGTAAACGCGTTGAGTGGCATATCATTTTGCGCAAACGACAAAACAACCACGGGTGACTTTTTAACATCCCGGGGGAAGACTTGCAGATATTAGCCGCCTCGAAAAGAAAAGGACAATCCTGGGCACACCAGGCCCGGAAAACGACTTTCATCCGTCCCGTCTCATTCGGAACTTTCGACCCGACACTGTCGTCGCTAGCAAGAGGCAAAGCGGTCGCAAGGCATCGCACGTTGGTGTGGTAAAGGTGGGGTCCCTCCGCTTATTCCTCGCATTACTGTCGGATAACGCCAAGGACGTGCGGCGGCCCCTGCCGAAGGTATCCGAAAGTCCAATTTGGCCCTTGATAAGGAAAACGTTTTCCCACCGCCGACCTATAGATTCGTGTGTCAATATACGACAAGATACATCTTATCGTTCACGCCACTTTAGCGTCCGTAGATTTAGTACCGCGACAGGTTGCCCAAGTTAGGCGACGGCGAAAAATAAAAAATATTGGTTTGAGATCCAAAAACGTGACGATCGAACCGCGGACGGGGCTACATCGTTGCATTCGTAGTTTGCTTGACTGGGTAAGCTAGGGTCGAGCGCGCAGTACGCTCTCTTATAGCGTGAAGCGCGTGAAACTTCAGCGGGTGTGGTGGGGGTGCGATCCATTATCGTGATGTGTGTTTTAGTTGTGCACAGTGAAGTTGGAGCAAGGTGTATCCAAAGTCGACTTGTACGATGTACGCAGTGTCGCGCGCGTTACGTAGCGGTTCCCAAAGCGGTGTGTGCGCGGTTGCTTCAGTTATTTTCTACGGCGGCAAATGATGGTGGCGCGCAACGGCGCGATGGTGTGGAGCAATTCCTGCGAGCACGGCGTAGCAGTGTGTACAGTCGCGTTCCATTGTGCATTGTAGTGATCTCATAGGAGTGTTATATTTTCGTGGCATATACAAGTGGTCACCAACTTGGTATATGAGCATCATCATCGTAGTGTTCTATCAGTGTGCTGTGCATAGCAACATGTCTGCGGTGTATTCGCTTCACGTGGTTAGTATTACATAAACATGCTGCGTATAGTAGTTTTACTAAGGCGTGACGAGTAAGAGGAGTATTTTGAGCGTGGCGCATTTAAAAAAAAAAACCCGGCTTTGTCCACTTAGTTTACGCAGTGTACTCGACCAGAATTTCATTCCGCCAGTATTGTAGCATACGTTAAGTCCTCACTTAACGCGTGTTCACACCATCACGCGTTTTCGCTGTGACGCGGTTAATTCCATCGGGGACCAATTGTCGGTTACAAAGCGGAGCGCGCGCACGCCGTTATTACACGTCGCTACCGTGTCGTCAGCTGAGCGGTGAGCGGTGCAGTAATACAGTGTGCGGAATTAACAGTAACGTGGCGGCGGTGGCGGCGGTGGCGGCGTACCCTCAGTTATTCGTCCTGCCATCTCACCGCGCGGTGCGTGTGGTAGTAGTAGTAGTCGTCGTACACCGTACCTCGCCACACTTCATCGTTACATTACTGAACCGTTTTCACTTTGCGTTTTTTTGTCTGAACGCGGAGCCTGTTACGAAGGCATCTACTACTACTAGCGCGGCGTTCGACGTGTGCTCGCCGCGTCTTGTTCGAGTGTGGAGTAAAATTGGAGCGTTCCGCAAGCTGCGTTCTATGGAACCGGCGTGGCGCGTGCAGAGCAGCGTCCTTGTCGTTTGCTGCGGCGTTCCGTCGCCATCGCCGTCGCCAAAGCACCGCGCACGGAACGGGGAGGTAACTCGCGATAGTAGTCCGGTTAACAGAAGACAGGCGACCGTAATCCGGCGTTGTTCGTTTGTCTGGCGCGTAATCGGATTGGCAACTCTCACTCGGCACGTCAATGACTTTGATTTGTAAGACAATTGAAAAGTGATTCTACGAAACAATTAGAAGCAGGAAATTTGTGTGTCAGCCAATGCACAGAGACCAGGCTACCAATTCTGCAAGAGACAAACCAGGTGTCCGATTTGCCTCTATTCTCCAATCAGTTATCTGTATGCATGCCGAAAAAAGGGGGTTCACAAATTAAAAATTGGTGGACAAAACATGATAAAATAATGTAACCCGCCAAAAAAACTGTGCTTATTTTCACATCCGTTTTTTTAGCGTTTACGAATTTAGGAAGCGGTGAATAACACATGAGCCCGTTTCAATATCACCTGCAATGACCCGTCAAATTTTTCCTGTCAGACCTCAGAAGCGAAGCAGATTTGTGCCTGACTAGTGCCGCCGGCAACAGGGGGCAGTGTCCGCTTCCGTGTCGTCACCGTGTCGTCAACGTGTCGTCGTTGCCACGTCGTTGCCGTGACGACACCGTAACATCGCCGTGTCCGTCGCCGTGTCGTCGTCGCCGTGGCAACGCCAGCATCACTCCTGCGCCTCCTTGCCGGCGAGGCGGTAGACCTCGGTGGGTGCCGTGTTCGAGCCTCCTGCCAACGCCGTCGTCGCCGTGGTCAGCTCCTCCCCGTGGGCCAGGGCGATGTCACCTGCCGTGGTTCAAAGTTCAAAGTTCATCGATTAGGTGTAGCCCTGTGAGCCATTCGGCTCTTGAATCGGGTGCAACCGCAACAAACAAAAAAATTTACCCGTAAAAACTAAGTTTTTCACTATAAATCCTTTATATGCGTGGCGGCTAGAGTCCTCTCGTCCTCTGGCTTGAGATGGCTGCCACCTATGGGTCAGATGAATGGCTGCCACCATTAAGCAATTGGTTATTAAATATAATTTTTTTTTCCTAAAAAGTGTAAAGTTATGGAAAAAAATTTTCACGAAAATAAATTGTCACGCACAACGAGTCTGTGTGCTAAATGTCAGCTCGATTGGATCACGGGAAGTAGGTTAAAAAACGACCGAAAGATTTGCACGGTCGTAAGCGGGCAAGCAAGCAAGTGAACTTAATATAAAGGATTTAAAAACATGAACAAGAAAACATCTTAAAGTGACTGAGTGCAAACAGAAAATCCAAGAAAAGACAGCAAAATATTGCAGAAAAAAAGCACCATACACCAACGCTGTGTGCAAAAATCCTAGTCGGATGCAAGTCAAACAACAACATCCACAAGACAACTTAGATTAAGGCCATCAGTCTAACTCTGTACTACCAACAAACATGGCCAAAACAGTAAACTTTTCGAAAATCACCAAAATAAAGCCATAAAAGCAATGAAACAGTGGTCATAGGAACTGTGACCGAATTTTCACAATAAACGACGTAAACAACACGTACTACCAAACTCTGCAGCCATAGCTGGCTGCACGAGTCACTCCACAAGAGTAGGAGCATCAGTCGGAGTATACGTCATGTTCATGGTGGGTGGAGGTGGAGGAACGGTGGGAAAGTCGGTGGTGGCGGTTGCGAAAAGAAACATTCGCGAATTATTTAACGTTTTTTTTGTTTTCCTCTCCCCGCTAATTTTATCCCAAATGTGCCATCGGCATCGCGCCGTGAGATGCCGCGTGGCGTCCTTCACCGGGTTCAACTCGCTAACGGCACTTGACCCCCAACGTTCTGTTAAGGCAGGGGTGTCCAAATTTTTTGCAAAGAGGGCGACTACATAGTACTGATGATCCTATGTAGTTTATACTTTAGTTGTTTACGTGGTGGTTTTAGTTACTGCAGCTACATACTATTAACACTCCTTCCCTTTATTAATGCTACCCCTATCCCCTCCCTGTGATGCTGCTAATCCTGCATCATGCACGGGCATAATTAGTACTATTCACATACCTGCATTTCCCATATCCCCTCCCTTTGATGCTGCTAATCCTGCATCATGCACGGGCATAATTAGTACTATTCACATACCTGCATTTCCCATATCCCCTCCCTTTGATGCTGCTAATCCTGCATCATGCACGGGCATAATTAGTACTATTCACATACCTGCATTTGCCATATCCCCTCCCTTTGATGCTGCTAATCCTGCATAATGCACGGGCATATGTAGTACTAATCACATTCCTGCATTTCCCATAAATATGCTAAATTCCTCTTCATATGCAAATTCTTTTGTCGAAGTGCCCTTTCCCCCCCTCCCAACCCAGCTTATATATATGCTCCAAGCACGTGTGCTGTTTCATTCAGACGCTGTCGCCTCGACAGACCTGGTTTCACCTGAGGACGGCTGCTTGCGTTGTGGCCGAAACGTCGTGAGAATTATTTTATTATGTTTTATTTTTATTATTTTATTACTTCCCTTCTACGTGACTTTAACGAAAGAACCAAGAAGACGAATCCCTGCAGTCACGAAAGCTTTAAATCGAAATATGGGTCACATTTGATAAAGTGAAGATGCCTGGGGGCCAATAGTTCCTTTTGACATTGTTTTAACCACAAAAATTACGTGGAAACACACATTGTTATAAAACAATTTTATTGTCACAATTACCTTAATTTTTCAAGTGACAATATAACCAAATATAAGCCACTCGGGCAGACGTGAACAACTCTAAAAACGCAATTCTGCCTTTCAATCAGTCAGATAACATTGAACAAACTGTATAGGATAGAAAGAAAGCCGTCTCGGGTGTGGACCAATCAACTTCAAGGACAGTGCATATTATTATCATTATCAGAGTTGCTTCTTTTTGTTTGCTTTTTTGACTACTTGTGTTGTGGTTATTGCAAACATGATGCCTTGAATAAAGGTGTCAGTTTTGTAGCAGTTTAAAAGGGTAAAAACCTACTACTGTATAGAATACCTTACATTTCCATGAGTTGTATGATGTATTTATTCTGACAGAAATTTGGCTAGCCATAAATAACACATTATAAGACCGAAGCTGCGGACCGTATGAAATCTGCCCGCGGGCCGGACTTTGGCCATGCCTGTGTTAAGGCTACACGGTGAGAGAGGGGGGGGGGGGTATCTTTGTGTCTTTGCGCGAGGGAGCGAGCGTCACCTTCGGAGCGGTCGGTGTCCCCGTAGCGCTTGTGCGAGGGCGCGTAGAGGAACATGACGGAGAAGACGTACATGTTCCACATGCCGTACACGCCCGTGAAGAACGCCGCGTTCACGTGCACCGTGCGGTCGCCCCACTTCCAGTGACCCTCGTTCACCTACAAGGGGGTGGTGGGGGGCGGGGGGGTAAGGGCGCGTTGAAGACGGTCATTATCATCGTCGTCATCGTCATCGACAACGTCGTGAGCATCGTCGTCATCGTCACAACTACCATCACTGTCTCAATCATCATCGTCGTCCTCGTCACCGTCAACATCACCATCTTAATCATCTTCATCTGACATCCACGTCATCTTCACCGTCATCACTATCGCCGTCATCGTCATCGCTGCCCCCGCCAAAGACAAAGTTCCCTCCTCCCCATAGTCCAAACAGACTGTTGGGGCAAGTGCTGTTAGCGAGCACCTACAAAGGCCGGCACGGCACACGAGGGAGCGGGTGGCCAGCACCACGCCCGCCTGCCCGCCTTTGTCTCCCTACTTGCAATATTTGCACACCGCACCAGGTACTCATTTGAGGCCGAGTCGACCTAGGGGGAGGCCCGGTACCTGTTCAGATAATCGTCACTGGTGTTCGTGGACGTGAGCGGGAATCTACAGTGAAACCTTGGATTGCGAGTAACTTGTTCTGCGAGTGTTTTGCAAGACGAGTACTGTACGTACAGTATACGCTGTCTGCCGAGCGTCACGTGATCACAACTGAGCCGATGGTTCTTCTCTCTCTCTCTCTGCGGGATTGTGGGTAATCGTCTCCCATGCTCGGTCTCAGTCGGCGTGCCTCACTCGTATATAGTCAACATCCGTGCGAGCGTAGACTGTTTACAGTAGTCTTGTGTACCAGGTGTGTGTGTCTAAAGCATTTTTTTTATTTTGTGTCCAAGTGTAGTGACTGTTCTTTAGTAGCTGTACTGCAACAATGACCCCCTCCTCCTCTCCTCTCTCTCGTCTCCCTCACACCAGCCATGATTAAATTTAACTAATACATTTGATTACTTTATATTAAATTTCAATAATAAAAATATAAAAAGGTATTTTGTATTAATCATTTTTCGATTTAAAGCTTTCGTGACTGCAGGGATTCATCTTCTTGGTTCTTTCAGTAAAGTCACGTAGAATGGAAATAAAAAAAATAATAAAAATAAAACATAATAAAATAATTCTCACGACGTTTCGGCCACAATGCAAGCAGCCGTCCTCAGGTGGAGAGCAGGTCTGTCGAGTAGACAGTCTGAATGACAGACCTGTTCTCCACCTGAGCATTGTGGCCGAAACGTCGTGAGAATTATTTTATTATGTTTTATTTTTATTATTTTATTATTTCCATTCTACGTGACTTTACCGAAAGAACCAAGAAGATGATTTCCATTATTTCTTATGGGGAAATTCGCTTTGATATACGAGTGCTTTGAATCATGAGCACGTGTCCGGAACGAATTATGCTCGCAATCCAAGGTTTCACTGTACACTGCAACCGCTCCCCTACAGCTCGACACTAAAGACAAGAGAACAAACAGCGAGGCAGGCGAGACTGAACAACGAATGTCACTGTGGTTGTGGGCGTGGTGGCGAAGAGTGCTCCACACTTGATACAGCTGTCGGGGCTGTGACGGTTCCACCTGAAGACGGAAGCTTGTGTTGCCTCCAAAACGTCGTGATTTTTATTTTATTTTATTAATTTTAATTTTTTACCTACGTGACTTTACCGAAAAAACCTAAGAAGAGTGCTCCACACACCTGGCTGATGATGAAGAAGATGACCGTGAGAGCAGCACAACCCAAGGTGGTCAGCATCAGGAACTTGAACCGGAAGATCAAACCCTGCACATCACCACAACCATCACCAACAGCCACCATCATATGTTGTTAACTACTTCGCCTGGTATACAGCTGTGTCATGGGTTCGATCCCGACCCTGATGATGCCTGTGTAATAAAGGTCGTTGAGGCGACTTCTGGAATCCGGTCTTTTATTCACTTTGCATTACAGCTTTCCTTCCCGCTGCTGACAGGCAGCGTGAGAGGGACAGATAGAGAGAGAGACGCACTGCCACGTGGCAACCCGGAGCCCTGTTCCCGCGTGGCCCCTTCCTCTCTTCGTTCCCGTTCTGACCACGTGTCGTTCGTCTCCACCCCTATTTAATACCCGGGTCACGCGGTACGTTCCCGCCAATCCTGGTTAGCCTCCATGGAATATTCTAGGCTCCGTCGTAGGCTCCCGGGACCACGCCCCTGACTCGTCTCCCCATTGGCTGTGGCCAAAGCCAGCAGAACCAATCCTCTACTTGCAGCTGTCACCTTTCCATGACGTCAGGGCCACGCCCCTAGGCTTCCCCCCATTGGCTATGGACCAGGACCGGCAGAGCCAATCATCGTGACGAGTTGTGATACGTCAGTGAGCCGGATATATCCTCACATTACACCTGTATATTTGGAGTTTGCGTGCCTTTCTTCTCTGTGGTCGTCGTGTGAATTTTTCTCCGGGTCCTCGGAAAATCCCTTCCACGTTTAGAATCAACATCGCACGTTTAGAGTATTTGGCTACTGCTATGAATTGCCACGTGACGATAGGCCGCTTCGTTGAGCTATTATTGGTGGCCAAGTCGCTTCTGAAAAAGAGCTACGTAGTTCAGCGGGCCTAAGTTGGTAACATAAAAAACTGTTAGGTACAGTTTTTTTTAGCACATCTACATTTACCACAATGGCAATGCAGTGACCTATTTGTTATTTAAAATCAAATAAAGAATCTGAATCGTGGCAATTCAAGCAAATCATGAGTGAGCAAGTAAGCGTGTGATTGAGTGAGCAATTTAGCGCTTATTAAGCATCCGTGCGAGTGAGTGAGCGAGTGAGTGAGCGAGTGAGTGAGCGAACTAGCGAGTTAGCAAGCGTGCATCTGTGCGACTGAGTGTGCGAGTGAGTGAATGAGCGAGCGAACAAGCGCTTAATCAGCGTCCGTGCAAGTGAGTGAGCGAGTGAGTGAGCGAACTAGCGAGTTAGCAAGCGTGCATCTGTGCGACTGAGTGTGCGAGTGAGTGAGTGAGCGAGCGAACAAGCGCTTAATCAGCGTCCGTGCAAGTGAGTGAGCGTGTGAGCGAGCGAACTAGCGAGTTAGCAAGCGTGCATCTGTGCGACTAAGTGTGCGAGTGAGTGAGTAAGTGAGGAAGCTAGTGAGTTACTAAGCGTCTGTACAAGTGAGCGAACGAGCGAGAAAGCATGTGAGAGAACAAGCCATCCCCAGCGCTTAGTAAGCATGTGAGTGAGCAAGCTATGTAGCACTTCGTAAGCGTCTGTGCAAGAAAGCGTGCATCCGAGCGAGTGAACGAGCGAGCGTGGGGTGAGCGAGCTAGCAAGAGTTACTAAGCATCCGTGCGAGTGAGTGGACGAGTGAGTGGACGAGTGAGTGGACGAGTGAGTGGACGAGGGAGTGGACGAGTGAGTGGATGGGCGAGCGTGGGAGTGAGCGAGCTAGCAGAGTTACTAAGCATCCGTGCGAGCGAGTGGACGAGTGAGTGGACGAGTGAGTGGACGAGTGAGTGGACATGTGAGTGGATGAGCGAGTGGACGAGCGAGCGTAGGAGTGAGCGAGCTAGCAGAGTTACTAAGCATCCGTGCGAGCGAGTGGGCACGCCACCTCATAATGCAGCCGTCGCACGCGAGACATGGCGGGCAGGAAGGAACGTTTGCCGCCGATGTTGCGGAACACTTGGTAGACCATGAAGGTGAGGAAGAGGAAGTAGAGGCATGCGCACACGCCCGCCAGCACGATGAACGCCGTCTGATACGACGCCGTTAAGGAAATGGAACCGAGGCATGGTTGGGCAGCAAAAACGAAGACGATACGAACACATTCCTGCGGAGGGAGCTGGTAGGAACGTTGGGTTGCTCGGTCAATGGTCAGGGTCAACGGCGGCGTGGTGTATTCTGCAAATATGGCCGACTGTGAGGGCGGGCACAAGCCGGCGTGAGTAGGTTAAACGTTGAGTTTTATAAGGGCACCACGGGGTGACCAGCCCCTTCCCACCCAACCCCACCCAGCCCCACCCTCCCCACCCAGCCCCACCCTCCCCACCCAGCCCCACCCTCCCCACCCAGCCCCACCCTCCCCCACCCTCCCCACCCAGCCCCACCCTCCCCACCCTCCCCACCCAACCCCTCCCCACCCCACCCTCCCATCCCCATCCAGCCCCTCCCTCCCCACCCAGCCCCTCCCTCCCCACCCCACCCAGCCCCTCCCTCCCCACCCCACCCAGCCCCTCTCTCCCCACCCCACCCAGCCCCTCCCTCCCCACCCCACCCAGCCCCACCCCTCCCATTTTTGGATGCACGACGGACGGACGGACACAATAATCCCCTGTGGGCTGGTGGAACCAGGAGATTCCTACCAGTAAAACGGAGTGACCTGCAGTTACACTGCAAGGGATGCGGTTACGGGCTGTACGGACACGAGACCCCAAGCAGTGTTCATTTCAGAGTCAAGTTACTTTCCAGGACACACATGCCATAACGCGCCCTAAGCAACGTCACATTCCACGCCGCACACACGTACCTGAAATGTATAACCAGGTGAGAACGCAACGAGGCGAGTCGATTGTTTATAAAGGGACACCTGGCGGTGCGAGGTGCAGTACCACACCTGCATTTTGAAATCGCAACCCTTTCATATGCGAAGTCGGTGCTTTTGACATGGACCCGGGCGGAGTGACAGAGCACCGGCAAACGGTAATTACAGCGAGCGGATTCGAGAATGGTCAGTGCTGTCCACCCCTATGTCCGAGTTTCCCTTCGTGTACTGAAGTTTGCTCGCACACTTAACACTGCTTCTTGATGACAAGGAATTGGCCAAATATACCAAATTCAGGACACTTTCAGGCGTGTGTCCAGATATGGTGAGGCAATCTTGGATAAATTGATACAAATTTGATAATTGTGTTTTTTACCATTTTATCTGGCAACAAAACTAACACCTTTTTGTTACAAGGAGTCATGTTTGCATTGACCACAATACCTGCGGTCGGAATGCAAACAAAAACACACAACTCTGATAATGTATGCACTGTCCTTGAAATTGATTGGTCCACACCCGAGACAGCTTTCTTTAGAGCCTAGTCTCACATGGTGTTGGACCAGATGACGCCATAAGGCGCACAACTCAAAGACAACGCACCATCAGAGTATGAGAGCTCGGGGCAAGAATTTACACCATTGGAACCTCCTTTGCCAGTAGCAAAATATGATAATTGTTTTTTTACCCTTTTATCTGGCAACAAAACTGACACCTTTTTGTTACAATGAGTCATGTTTGCATTCACCACATTACCTGCGGTCGGATTGCAAACAAAAAAAACACAACTTTGATAATGTATGCACTGTCCTTGAAATTGATTGGTCCACACCCGAGACAGCTTTTCTTAGAGCCTCGACCCAATTGGTGCTCGACCAGATGACGCCAAAAGGCGCACACAGCTCAAAGACGACGCCACTATCAAAGTAACGAGGGCTCGGGGTGAGCATCTACATCAAGTTTCAAGGACAATGCTAAGTGCTCGGCTCAGAGGAAGATTGGCATGAACCTGGTGTTTGATTGGTGATCGGTGCGTGTTTGTGAACGCGCCCAAACGCACACAGCCGTCAGACGAACGCGCACTGCCCTGCAAGGCCGGGGCAATTGTCCAGCCGTTGTCAAGGATACAGCCAGGTGGCTCCCGGTTTCCGTGGCCCAGATGCTGTAGAATGGGTTCGTCAACTGCACGCCTCTGCACACACAAAGAGGACCATCCCCCCCCCCACTTTACACACACACAAAATATGCAGGTACACATGCACACACAAAGACCCCCCCCCCCCACCTATATAGTAAGTGCTGTGAGCGAGCACCTGTGAAGGCCCACACAGCACATGAGGCTGGCCACAGCGCCACGCCCGACCACCTTTGTCTCCCGAGTGGCGATGTTTACACACAGGATCAGGTACTCATTTGAGGCCGAGTCGACCTCGGGGAGGGGCCTGGGACCGGTTCAGATATTCATCACCAGTGTTGCTTGCGAGCGGGAATCGAACTCGGGTCACCGGCTTCATAATTTGACGCGCTAACCGCTACACCACCGCTCCCCACACACACACGCACGCACACGCGCGCGCGCGCACGCACGGTGAAATCTTGACGTGACATCACAGGTGTGACGTCACCGCTCACTTGCCGTGCAAAGTATACACATTGTGCCCCCCCCCCACAAAATACAAAAGTCTATTTGTATACTTTCTGCATTGTGTACAGTCTGGAAGCTACCCACATGCCACATTTCAAGTCTGTTGCATGTTGGGAAGTATGCTAAACATTTAGAACAGACACACACATTCACAAATTTCCCTTTTATATACGTAGATAATAACGTAATTTTCCCATGACACGGTGTTCTTCGGGAAGGCAACTAGTCCCGCGTTATAGGAGAAACAGACTGTACATCTCTGACCTGTCCCTCCCTGGTGTCATGACACCATAACGTCCGTAATGAAATGGCCACTCGGCTCTCCGTTGTTCATTCTTCTCTCTCATCCCACCCATTTGAAATGTTTTGGCTCGGCGAGCCGCGTTCTCCGACGGGCCGAAAGCCTCTGCGGATTACATCTTCCCGGCAGGCCGCCAGTTTAATAAAACCCTGATGCAGTCCACGAGAAAACCTGCCCTTCGTTGCACGAACACCCCAGGCAAATCATCTACTAAAGGATCTAGTTATCATTATTTACGTTTTATAAGACGCAGCAGACCCAACTAAGGGGCTTTAGAGCACCGTACGGTAAAAAAAAAGTATATAAAAAACAAGTTTATCAAAACATGTCGTGGAAAATAAGTAGGTTTTAGAGTTTTATTTCTTTCTGAAATAGGAGAATCTAGAGTGGTCAGGCGCAGCTGGTTCTTCCCGGGACACAGAGTTCCAAATCTAATGCAAAGTATGATCTGTGTTTTGATTTAGTGTGCTGATCTTAAAGGTGCATTGAAAAATGTTGATACTTCGACTGATGCTCCTGCTGTTGTGGAGTGACTCGTGCAGCCAGCTATGGCTGCAGAGTTTGGTAGTACATGTTGTTTACGTCGTTTATTGTGAAAATTCGGTCACAGTTCCTATGATCACTGTTTCATTGCTTTCATGGCTTTATTTTGGTGATTTTCGAAAAGTTTTTTGGTTTGGGCATGTTTGTTTGTTGTAGTACAGAGTTAGACTGATGGCCTTAATCTAAGTTGTCTTGTGGTTGTTGTTGTTTGACTTGCATCCCACTGGGATTTTTGCACAGGGTTGGTGTCCGGTGATGTTTCTGCAATATTTTGCTGTCTTTTCTTGGATTTTCTGTTTGCACTCAGTCACTTTAAGATGTTTTCTTGTTCATGTTCTTTGTTTGTTGCGGTTGCACCCGATTCAAGAGCCGAATGACTCACAGGGCTATACCTAAAAAATGACCTTTGAACTTTAATGGTCAAGGACCAAGAGGAAAAAAAACGCCCGAGCTCCGAAAGTTTTTTGTTGTTGCCGAAAGCGTAGCCGACGAGAGGCAGCCACGGCCGCCGTGGCGTTGTGTGTGTCTGTAAGGCTCCTCAAACTCTCAGAACAAGGGATTGCAAAAAAACCTGCACAGTTTGTTGGCCATGGACAGTAAAACCTTGGATTGCGAGCATAATTCGTTCCGGAAACGTGTTTGTAATTCCAAAGCACTCGTGTATCAAAGCACTCGTACATCAGTTGTGATCACGTGACGCTCTGCAGACAAAACGTATACACGTACGACTCGTATTGCAAGACCTCGCTCGTTTATCAAATTAATATTTATTTAAAATTTTTGCTCGTCTTGCAAAACACTCGCAGACCAAGTTACTCGAAATCCACGGTTGTACTGTATACATACACACACACGAGACAAATCGCTGAAAGAGCGCTGTGTGAATTGAGCACGGCAATTTGAATCGCGCAGCGCTGGAAGGGAGTTGTAAGGCCCAGTAAAGTTTGGAAGATTGACTCCCGACGAAAACGAGCGGTCGAAAGGTTGCGTAGAGAACGTGCGTCGGCTCTGACGGTGGAAGGGGGGGGGGGGGGAGTGGTGGCACCTTTCACACATGTCGAAGATGAACAGGGACAGGGATCCGAAGGCGATGGCTCCCACTTGCTTCCAGTAAACTCCAAGGCGGTTTCTCTGAGTCTGGTCCTGAACAACAAAGACACCAATCACAGATGGTTGGGAGCAAGTGCTGTTAATCTTCTTGGTTCTTTCCGTAAAGTCACGTAGAAGGGAAGTAATAAAATAATAAAAATAAAACATCATAAAATACAATTCTCACGACGTCTTCACCTGAGGACGGCCGCTTGCGTTGTGGCCGAAACGTCGTGAGAAGCATTTTATTATGTTTAATTTTATTATTTTATTATTTCCATTCTACGTGACTTTACCGAAAGAACCAAGAAGATGAATCCCTGCAGTCACGAAAACTTTAAATAGAAATTTCCAGGTCCCTTTTTAAATGTGGAAAAAGTTTTAACCACGACGCCGACACGCAGTGGCCGACTACTCTTACAATCGCCGCCGTGGGATCTTTAAACGTCCGCCATCAAGCGGACGGTTGCGTGCCTATTTTCACACCCGAAGCACGCCGCAGCGAGTCGATTCATCAGATTTTAAATCAAGAAATCGTTGCGCTGAAGGCGTTCCCCCCCCACTCCCCCGCCTCTCTCCATCTCGGTCGCTCACCATGAGGTGCTCCCCGCAGAAGATGATCCAGAAGGAAAGCAGCACGACGTAGAACAAGCCTTGACGGATGTCTCCAAACAGCAGCATCCACGTCCAGTTGAGCCCCACGGAGAGCCACTCCAAAGGGAGGTTAATCATCGTCATCGATACGCCCAGCGCCAAGATCATCCTGCAGGTGGCCACAGCAATACGTTATGTTTTTTGTTTGCATCATGACTGCAGGTATTGCGGTCTATGCAAACATGACTCCTCGTAAAAAAGGTGTCAGTTTTGTTGCCAGATAAAAGGGTAAAAAACCAATTATCATGTTTTTTACTGGCAAATGAGGTTCCAATAGTGTAAATGCTTACCCCGAGCTCTCATACTCTGATGGTGCATTGTCTTTGAGTTGTGCGCCTTTTGGCGTCATCTGGTCCAACACCATGTGAGGCTAGGCTCTAAGGAAAGCTGTCTCGGGTGTGGACCAATCAACTTCAAGGACAGTGCATACATGATCAGAGTTGTGTTTTTTGTTTGCATTATTACTGCAGGTATTGTGGTCTATGCAAACATGACTCCTCGTAAAAAAGGTGTCAGTTTTGTTGCCAGATAAAAGGGTAAAAAAACAATTATAATACGTGCGTTTGTAGAGTATTTGACTACTGCTGGAGATTTCACACGAGATAAGCCCAACTCGTTTTGAGCTATCATTAGTAATGCCCAGGTCGCTCAAGTGTGCCTTACCCCGGTCAAATAACAAGTAAACCCGTAAAAACAAAGTTTTTCACTCTAAATCCTTTATATGCGTGGCGGCTAGAGTCCTCTCGTCGTCTGGCTTGAGATGGCTGCCACCTATGGGTCAGATGATTGTCTGCCAGTATTAAGCAATTGGTAATTAAATATTTAATTAGTTTTCCCTAAACAGTGTCAAATTTTGGAAAAAAAAATTCACGAAAATTAATTGTCACACACAACGAGTCTTTGTGGAAAATGTCAGCTCGATTGGATCACGGGAAGTGGGTTAAAAAACGAGCGAAAGATTTGCACGGTCCTAAGCAAGCAAGCGAACTTAATATAAAGGATTTAAAATATATTCGCCTGTGGAGGACGCGGGGATCGATCCCGCGACCTTTGGCATGGGAAGCGAGGGCGCTACCAACTGCGCTACTCCGCCACGGCCTGTGGAGGGGTTACGCTCTGGGCTCCTATACTGTGACGTTCAGCCAAAGCCATGAATGAGTTCTATTTGAATAAATGTAAAATACATTTTTTTTGCCTAAAAAGTGTAAAAAAATATATTTTTTTTTCACGAACATTAATTTCTGTCACAACGAGTCTGTGTGGAAAATGTCAGCTCGATTGGATCACGGGAAGTGGGTTAAAAAACGACCGAAAGATTTGCACGGTCGTAAGCAAGCAAGCAAGCACGCAAGCAAGCAAGCAAGCACGCAAGCAAGCAAGCGAACTTAATATAAAGGATTTAAAAATAGTAAATGAGCACCTTGTTCCATTGGAACCTCCTTTGCCAGTAGCAAAATATGATAATTGTTTTTTATTTTATGTTTGCATTGACCACAATACCTGCGGTCGGAATGCAAACAAAAAACACAACTCTGATAATGTATGCACTGTCCTTGAAATTGATTGGTCCACACCAGAGACAGCTTTCCTTAGAGCCTAGTCTTCACATGGTGTTGGACCAGATGACGCCAAAAGGCAGCAGCAATGCCAAAAAAAGCTTGTGTTGCGTCCGAAACGTCGCGATTTAATTTCATTAAATTTTTCACCCACGTGCCTTTACCGAACAAAACCAAAGAGTACGAATCCCTGCAGTCACGAAAACTTCAAATCTAGAATGTTTGTTTCTTGTGTGTGCATGCGTGTCCAGGAGGCGCGGAAAGGGGGTCCCTTGCTTTTCGAGCAGCACGGGCGGCCTGGCCAGCTGGGACAGGCGCCTCCAGAACCAGACGAGGGTGACAAGCACGAGCGGAGTGAGGAAGGTCTTCATGGCGAACCACACTTGTGTGAAGCCGCCGTTCTGGTGGATGCCCTGCATGTGCAGCGATGCAGCAGCAGCAGCACAACAACAACACCCGCAGCAGGTATCGCATTAATAATAATCGCAACCGCAACTACAATACAGCACTACTAGAACTACAGTACAGCAACACATTAGCACAATACCACCACGGGTATCACAATAATAATCACAACCACAACTACAATACAGCAGTACTACGCAGCAACACCACCGCTGTTACAACCAAAATAGAAATACAACATTACCGCAGCGCGCTTTTGGTCAATGTCTTTGTGTGAAAGTAGGTTAATGCGTTGGGAGTGTGCCGGTCTGTGTATTGGTTTGTGTGTTGGTGTGTGGGCTCACACAGGTAGGGGCACTGTATGTGTAGGGACGCGTGTCCGTGGGTTTGTGTGGGGAGCGGGTAGTGCAGCATTTCGGGCGCAGCGCTACGAACCCAGCGACCCCAGTTGCATTTCCGCTCGAGGCCAACACCATTGACGAAAATCTGAACCGGTCCTTGGCCTCCCCTAGGTCGACTCGGCCTCAAACAAGTACCTGGTACGGTGCGTAAACATCACCACTGGGGAGACAGAGGCGGCCAGGCGTGATGCTGGCCACCCACCCCCTCGTGTGCCGTGCCGGCCTTCAGCACTTGCCCAAACAGCCTGTTAAAGCTATACGGGGATTTTTGTCTTGGCCTAATGTTTGTTAGTGACCACAGACTACGGTGTGGTCTACGCGACGGTCCACACTTTTGCACATGCGCCGGCCATCGCGTTATCGCGAACATTTGACGAGAGCACGCGTAACGTAAGGCAGAGACGCCTGTAACGTCCACGACCGCGTCACACGTGCCAAACAAGCAGAGCGTCCGGCGTAACCCGTGCCGCCCACCCCCCCCCCTCACCACCATCCCCCTGGGAGTGCGCTGTACGCACCGTAAGGTTGATGTCCAGGATCTTGCCGATGCCCATGTTGATGTTGCGCTGCTCGCTGGTGGGCAGGCGCATGTTGACGAGGTAATACTTGTGCCCGATGGAGCCCAGCTCCAGCAGCGGCAGCATCTCGCACTCGTACAGGCGGCCCTCGTTATCCGACGTCTGAACGGCGACGACGAAATTGGCGGCGATGGTTACGATGGGCGAGGCAGCGATGAGAGAGAGAAAAAAAATAAACACGCGTATTGAAACAAAAATTTGACGCGCACGCCGCGTGGATTGCGCGACCGTTTCCAACGTACATTTGTCCTCGGCGAGTATTTAGTTGCCGGTAATAACGGCAGAGATCGCGCTCGGGATAGCGGATTTTCCAATGAGAATGCGCCTCCATTGGCAGGGCTGGAATGCCGGGGCACGTCGTTTTAGCAATGCATCTTGCCTCCAGGTTTTTCGGGGAACCATTACCCTTGGAAAGTTTTTTTCTGATATATATAGGGCAACTTTCTAATAGAAACAGCACTTTATACTAGAAGTTTTGCTCATATTAGATCATCTTTACAATAGTTAGCGCGCCTCTCCCATTACAGACAGCCGACCAAACGGACAGATATGAAATTGGTCGCGAAAGCCGACGTGCTTAACGGACAGATATAATGTATAAATGCTTTCTATCTAAGTTGCAGAGCATTGAAAACCACAGAAAACTTCATCACAAACAACACTTGAATCACAAACACAAATGGTACCACAGCCAACATCACCATCATCATAACCATCACCGCCAACTTCGTTACATTTGCTCCCGTACCGCCACCAGTCACCTTCATCACCACCATCATCTCCATAAAAAAACACCACACCCATTAATCACTGCCTCCATTACCCATGCCCATCAGCCACTAATAAATCACCCACTTTTTCCATTACAGCCACCATGCATTTCCATCACCATCATAACCATTACCACCACCACCACTGCAATCACCACCATTATCATCAACACTGTATTCATGGCACCAGCAGCACTATGCCCCCATCATCGCAACTACCTTCCCCGTACATAAAACAATTTCTCCATCAGCCACTACCACCACCACTTCCATTCCGAATACAAAACCCACAATCTCCATCACAGCCACCATCATTTAGAACAGCCACCACCATATTCATTAACACCACCAACACCATCTTCTCCATCAGAAACATCACCCTCTGTTGACCGATTTGGGAGTCTTACGATCGTCTACATAATCCACCAACTCTTCACTTCACACTGCAGGATCAAGGCAGATGCCTCTCAACTCTTTGAATATCATGATCACTACCACCACCGCGGCCACCATCACCAACAATAAAAACAACCGCCATTCGCCACCAAGTGGCGGTGACGTTACCACAGCACCTGTGCCAGGCCAGGTGCACTTTGAGGCCAACTACTGTGGGTTGACCGACTGAGATGACTGGCAAGATGCACCAGCTGTGCCCCCTACTGTGCCAACTATTGCCACCACTAGATTTGAAGCTTTCGTGACTGCAAGGATTCATATTGTAAGGTTTTTTCGGTAAAGTCACGTAGGTAAAAAATTCTAATTAATAAAAGTAAAATAAAAAATATAAATAAAATAACGACGTTTCGGAGGCAACACAAGCTTCCGTCTTCAGGTGGAACCTACGTGACTTTACCGAAAAAAACCTACGAATATTGCCACCACCTCCATTACCACCACCTTTAGAGCCTTAACAGACTATCGGGGCATATGCAGTTCGCGAGCACCTATTAAGGCCGGAACGTCACATGGCGGGGGGGGAGGGGGTCGGTGGCTACCGCCATCTCCACCACTGCTCACCACACCTCACCATGGTGTGGCTGAATTGGCAGTTGAGGCGCCGATGCTCCACCGAGCGAGCCAGCTCGGTCCAGTTGTCCGCGTGGCTGTCCTTGTATCCCATCTTCACCTCCAGTGTCACCTCGGCCTTGTCAACTGGGCAGGCACGGACAACATCACGCCGCTATAGCACCGAGTCTCACTTGTCCCATTGCCAATCGCTCCCCTTTCCGTGCCTGGCTTGTAATGAGGATACAATCAATTTGAGAAAACCTCTTAAAAAGTTCAAGATTTGAAGCTTTCGTGACTGCAAGGATTCATATTCTTAGGTTTTTTCAGTAAAGTCACGTAGGTAAAACATTAAAATTAATAAAAGTAAAATAAAATAAACGTCGTGATTTTTATTTTATTTTACTTTTATTAATTTTAATGTTTTACCTACGTGACTTTACTGAAAAAACCTAAGAATATGAATCCTTGCAGTCACGAAAGCTTCAAATCTAGAAGGTTGAAGAGTAGTTTTATAAGGCCATTTTAAGAGCATTTCTCAGACATCGAGCCGTGAAAACCTACATCGATGCATCGATTGATCGGCTGAATTCAATTAGTCCGCTCATAAATAGATGCAGCGAGTTGTAACGTGTATGAATAGAATATTTAAGATTCGCGCAAATGATGTTGAAGTTAAATTTAGGCTAATGCAGGTCAATTGACCAAGTTCGCAGTCGAGTCCTCTAACCGCTAAACCACACCAACGATCCCCCGTATAGCCTTAACAGATTATAGGGGTTTTTCTAGATTTGAAGTTTTTGTAAACTGCAAGGATCCATACTCTTTGGTTCTTTCGGTAAAGTCACGTAGGTGAAAAATAAAATAATAATACAATGAAACTAAATTAAATTTCGATTTAAAGCTTTCGTGACTGCAGGGATTCATCTTCTTGGTTCTTTCGGTAAAGTCACGTAGAAGGGAAATAATAAAATAATTAAAATAAAACATAATAAAATAATTCTCACGACGTTTCGGCCACAACGCAAGCAGCCGTCCTCAGGTGAAGACCAGGTCTGTCGGGGAGACAGCGTGACTTTACCGAAAGAACCAAGAAGATAACTAAATTAAATCACGACGTTTCGGAGGCAACACAAGCTTCCGTCATCAGGTGGAACAATTACTGTAGTGAATTACTCTAGTGAATATCCACTACAGTAATTGCGCTGTGGCTGTTCCACCTGATGACGGAAGCTTGTGTCGCCTCCGAAACGTCGTGATTTAATTTAGTTATTTTCTTGGTTCTTTCGGTAACAGCTGTGGATTTCACACCTGATGATGATTGCTTGTGTTGCAGGCGAAACGTCGTGAGAATTTTTATTTTTTATATTATGAATCCCTGCAGTCACGAAAGCTTTAAATCTAAATTTAATTTAGTTACTTTAATTTTATTATTCTTATTTTTCATCTACGTAACTTTACCGAAAGAACCAAAGAGTATAGATTGTAGGCGTGCTGGATTTTGGAAATGATTTGCATTTTGGAAATGATTTTGGAAATGATTTGGATTGTGGAAATGATTTCCAAAACCATGAACAAACACAAGATCCAGGTCCGATTTAACACGGCACATAAAATTCGTGATCAGATCCCATCTGTGAAGGACAAGATTCCTGACATGCAATATCCCGGCGTCTACAAACTAAGCTGTCTCTGCGGCAGCAGTTACATTTGGGAAACTAAGCGACATGTCTCGAAACCGTGTTTGTGAACACGAGGCAGATCTGAACCACGGCAGCACCAATACTTCTGCTGTGGCTGATCGTTATTTTAATGCGGCTGGCTCACGCGAAATTGATTTCTCTAAGACGATGGTACTTTGCAAGCCAACTGGCTACCAACAAAGATTAGTTCATGAAGCCATCCATATACACAGAGACAATTTCAACCGAGAGGAAAGTAATAGACTCGGCAATTATTGGAAAGATGTCAATAACCACTTTGGGTCATAACTTGACTTGTGTTTTCTTGTCAATCAACCTCCACCGTCAGCAGTGTGGTGTGTGGAGTGGGGTGCAGGGATTTCTTGGCGGCCCTTTGCTGCATTGGCATTGCTGCTACATTGGCATTGCTGCTGCATTGGCATTGCTGCTACATTGGCATTGTTGCTGCATTGGCATTGCTGCTGCATTGCCATTGCTGCTACATTGGCATTGTTGCTACATTGGCATTGCTGCTACATTGGCATTGTTGCTACATTGGCATTGCTGCTGCATTGCCATTGTTGCTGCATTGGCATTGCTGCTACATTGGCAATGTTGCTGCATTGGCATTGGTGCTGCATTGGCATTGCTGCTTCATTGGCATTGCTGCTTCATTGGCAATGTTGCTGCATTGGCAATGTTGCTGCATTGGCATTGCTGCTGCATTGGCATTGTTGCTGCATTGGCATTGCTGCTGCATTGGCATTGCTGCTACATTGGCATTGTTGCTACATTGGCATTGCTGCTACATTGGCATTGCTGCTGCATTGGCATTGCTGCTGCATTGCCATTGTTGCTGCATTGGCATTGCTGCTGCATTGGCATTGCTGCTACATTGGCATTGCTGCTGCATTGGCATTGCTGCTGCATTGGCATTGCCGCTGCATTGGCATTGCCGCTGCATTGGCATTGCCGCTACATTGGCATTGCCGCTGCATTGGCATTGCCGCTGCATTGGCATTGCCGCTGCATTGGCATTGCCGCTGCATTGGCATTGCTGCTGCATTGGCATTGCTGCTGCATTGGCATTGCTGCTACATTGGCATTGCTGCTGCATTGGCATTGCTGCTGCATTGGCATTGCTGCTGCATTGGCATTGCTGCTTCATTGGCAATGTTGCTGCATTGGCATTGTTGCTGCATTGGCATTGTTGCTGCATTGGCATTGCTGCTTCATTGGCATTGCTGCTTCATTGGCAATGTTGCTGCATTGGCAATGTTGCTGCATTGGCATTGCTGCTGCATTGGCATTGCTGCTGCATTGGCATTGCTGCTACATTGGCATTGTTGCTGCATTGGCATTGCTGCTGCATTGGCATTGCTGCTGCATTGCCATTGTTGCTGCATTGGCATTGCTGCTGCATTGGCATTGCTGCTACATTGGCATTGCTGCTGCATTGGCATTGCTGCTGCATTGGCATTGCCGCTGCATTGGCATTGCCGCTGCATTGGCATTGCCGCTACATTGGCATTGCCGCTGCATTGGCATTGCCGCTGCATTGGCATTGCCGCTGCATTGGCATTGCCGCTGCATTGGCATTGCTGCTGCATTGGCATTGCTGCTGCATTGGCATTGCTGCTACATTGGCATTGCTGCTGCATTGGCATTGCTGCTGCATTGGCATTGCTGCTGCATTGGCATTGCTGCTTCATTGGCAATGTTGCTGCATTGGCATTGTTGCTGCATTGGCATTGTTGCTGCATTGGCATTGCTGCTTCATTGGCATTGCTGCTTCATTGGCAATGTTGCTGCATTGGCAATGTTGCTGCATTGGCATTGCTGCTGCATTGGCATTGCTGCTGCATTGCCATTGTTGCTGCATTGGCATTGCTGCTGCATTGCCATTGTTGCTGCATTGGCATTGCTGCACCGCCCATGCTCCTGGTGCTGCTGATACACTTGGGGCTATGCTCATTCCCAAACCTTTCTAAACAGTGTTGCCTTTAGAGGCCAACTCCTTTGCCTGACGACGATCGCTTGCGTTGCGATCGAAACGCCGTGATATTTATTCGCTCTATTTTTATTTTTCTATCTACCAAAGAATATCCAGAAACAAAGCAGGCGTCCGTCAGGGGTCGGGATTGAAACCCACGACCTCCTGCATGCCAGACGAGGGAGATAACTCTAGATTTGAAGCTTTCGTGACTGCAAGGATTCGTACTCTTAGGTTTATTCGGTAAAGTCACGTAGGTAAAAAAAATGTAATTAATAAAAGTAAAATAAAACAAATTTAAAAATTCACGACGTTTTGGAAGCAACGCTGTGACGGTCCCACCTGAAGACGGAGGCTTGTGTTGCTTCCGAAACGTCGTGAATTTTTTTTATTTGTTTTATTTTACTTTTATTAATTTAAAATTTTTTACCTACGTGACTTTACCGAAAAAACCTAAGAGTAGGAGGGAGATAACATCTCGCCGACGCGGCACCCACACACACACACACACCGCACGCGTTAAAACGCACGGCGGGCGCGGGGGCGTACCGATAGGGTTGTGTTTCCAGTACTGGATGTCGAATTCGAGGACGACGAGCAGGTACTGGAACCAGGCGTTCATCTCCAGTCCCGGGTGGGGCATGTGGATGCTGAAGACGATGCGGTTCGCCTCGATCCTGCGCTCGGTCGCCTCGTCCAGATCGCGTAGCTTCACGCATGCCGCCGGCCCCCACGGCTCCAGCCACGAGTTGGGGCCCGAGTCGCGCTCACGCACGCACTTTGTGGCCAGGTAGCGCATGGCGGCAGTCGGGTTCGGTGCTGCAGGGAAGGTGGTGGGGGGTGGGGCGGGGGTGACGACAGTGGTGGCGTTGGGTTTGGGACCCCATTTGGCAATTACTATTCGTCAAATTTACTGTTACGAGACATTTGCAAGTTCAGAATCAGAATATTTATTTATACTGGAGGGATTCGATGAGTTATGAAGATATTTTTCACAGGTGTCCAGTAACGGCACGGGGTAAGTACGTTACAACAACAAACAATACAAAAACATGATAGCAGTGCAAAGTACAAGAAAGGTAAACAGATCACCCAAACACATACAATTAAAAATAGCGCATGGCGGCAGTCGGGTTCGGTGCTGCAGAGGAGGTGGTGGGGGGTGGGTGATGACAGTGGTGGCGTTGGGTTTGGGACCCCATTTGGCAATTACGATTCGTCAAATTTACTGTTACGAGACATTTGCAAGTTCAGAATCAGAATATTTCTTTATAGTGGAGGGATTCGATGAGTTATGAAGCTCTTTTTCATAGAGGTCCAGTAACGGCACGGGGTAAGTTACAACAACAACAAACAATACAAAAACATGATAGCAGTGCAAAGTACAAGAAAGGTAAACAGATCACCCAAACACATACAATTAAAAATAGCGCATGGCGGCAGTCGGGTTCGGTGCTGCAGGGGAGGTGGTGGTGGTGGGGGGGGGTGACGACAGTGGTGGCGTTGGGTTTGGGACCCCATTTGGCAATTACTATTCGTCAAATTTACTGCTACGAGACATTTGCAAGTTCAGAATCAGAATATTTATTTATACTGGAGGGATTCGATGAGTTATGAAGATATTTTTCACAGGTGTCCAGTAACGGCACGGGGTAAGTTACAACAACAACAAACAATACAAAAACATGATAGCAGTGCAAAGTACAAGAAAGGTAAACAGATCACCCAAACACATACAATTAAAAATAGCGCATGGCGGCAGTCGGGTTCGGTGCTGCAGAGGAGGTGGTGGGGGGTGGGGGGGGGTGATGACAGTGGTGGCGTTGGGTTTGGGACCCCATTTGGCAATTACGATTCGTCAAATTTACTGTTACGAGACATTTGCAAGTTCAGAATCAGAATATTTCTTTATAGTGGAGGGATTCGATGAGTTATGAAGCTCTTTTTCATAGAGGTCCAGTAACGGCACGGGGTAAGTTACAACAACAACAAACAATACAAAAACATGATAGCAGTGCAAAGTACAAGAAAGGTAAACAGATCACCCAAACACATACAATTAAAAATAGCGCATGGCGGCAGTCGGGTTCGGTGCTGCAGGGGAGGTGGTGGTGGTGGGGGGGGTGACGACAGTGGTGGCGTTGGGTTTGGGACCCCATTTGGCAATTACGATTCGTCAAATTTACTGTTACAAGACATTTGCAAGTTCAGAATCAGAATATTTCTTTATACTGGAGGGATCCGATGAGCTATGAAGATATTTTTCACAGGTGTCCAGTAATGGCACGGGGTAAGTACGTTACAACAAACAATACAAAAACATGACAGCAGTGCAAAGTACAAGAAAGGTCAACAGATCACTCAAACACATATACAATTAAAACTAAACCATCCCCATCCTACCAGGCAAAGCCCGCCGAGGTATTAACTTATTTTTTAAAAGTGACCTGGCCTCAAATAGCTCAACAAAGTGCCTTATATTTCGATTTAAAGCTTTCGTTACTGCAGGGATTCATCTTCTTGGTTCTTTCGGTAAAGTCACGTAGAATTGAAATAATAAAATAATAAAAATAAAAGTGCCTTATCATTTAGACATTTATAGCAGCAAAATAATGTTAATAATCTCAATGCATGTTTCTAAATGTGTTGTGGGGAAAAACCGGGGGACCCGGAGAAAAAAATCCACACAACCACGGGAAGAACATGCAAACTCCAAATTTTTAGGCGTTAAGATCAAGATCAAACCCACAAATCTCAGAACGCGCAAGCGGCTCAAGCGTTAATTTTATTCAGAGAGGCGTAGTAGTTTTTAAAGACGTCGTACTCGCCGCAGAGAACCATAGCGACACGACCACCACACCCCCTACGATAGCTGTCGCAAAAACTGTGCCACACGCCCTCCCGCATGGCCTTGTGGGAGCCTCGGTACCAATAAAGTTATTTTCTTTTGTCCTTTCCATTGTTTCGTTTTGATGACGAACATGTACGTCATCTTCTTAGTTTTTTTCGGTAAAGTCACGTAGGTAAAAAAATGAAAATTAATAAAAGTAAAATAAAAATAAAATAAAAATCACGACGTTTCGGAGGCAACACAAGCTTCCGTCTTCAGGTGGAACCGTCACAGCACGATAGCTGTATCAAGTAAATGAGAAATTCCAAGAAATACTACCCCGTATATATACTGGTTGAGGGGGGGGGGGGGATGGGCCAGGATAGGCCCCGTTTTTATTATTATGGTAAGGTGCGGCTTGAGTTGCCTCCGAAACGTCGTGATTATTATTTTATTTTTATTTTACTTTTATTAATTAAAATTTTTTACCTACGAACATGAATACTTGCAGTCACGAAAGCTTCAAATCTAGAATGTACGTCATCATAACAGGAAAGGGTTAATACGTAACATTCGGTGGTTCGTGCACTGCGCTGTGAACGCTGCCACCCGAGTAGATGTCACTCGCCACAAATCCGCACCGACAAGTCTGGTGAAGTATGTTGAAATAACTCCTACGACCATGGCATGGGCAGGCCTTCATCCAGCAGTGGATTGGTGAAGCTACTACTGTGCATCGTGCCATCGGCGTCATGTTCTGAGAAGAATTCAGGTCTCTTGCAGATCAGTGCAATCCTTTGCGTTGGAGAACAGCCCCCACAGAAGTGGACATCACAGAACTAAATTTCGATTTAAAGCTTTCGTGACTGCAGGGATTCATCTTCTTGGTTCTTTCGGTAAAGTCACGTAGAAGGGAAGTAATAAAATAATAAAAATAAAACATAATAAAATAATTCTCACGACGTTTCGGCCACAACGCAAGCAGCCGTCTTCATGTGAAGACCAGGTCTGTCGAGGCGACGGCTGCTTGCGTTGTGGCCGAAACGTCGTGAGAATTATTTTATTATGTTTTATTTTTATTATTTTATTACTTCCCTTCTACGTGACTTTACCGAAAGAACCAAGAAGATCACAGAACTAGCTCCGATATTCCTTCGAAGTGACTTCCGATCTAGTCCATGGCTTGACGCTTTCCTGTGTGTGAATGTCCTCGACTTTACGTAACAATTTATTTCCTATTCAGTAATGATGTCATGTGCTCTGGAAGAGATATGTGTACTGTTTTGGCCTAATACGCAGTTACATCTACCCTTTTTAATTTGGTCGGCCTGGCATAGCAAACGTGCTTTTCCCTATCTTAACGGTGAAAAGTGCCTGGGGGCCGTGTGGTTAATGCCACGAAGTAGGTGACATCAGATATGGCGATGCCATGAAATGAAACGTTGCACGGCCGAGTGACTGCGATAACGTCAACGAAGATCATCATCAAGCGATGACGGAACACTCGCTCGAAAGCATTTTCAGCAGACCCACCTGTTTTGCATTTCCAGACTAGCCACTTAAACGTCATACGGAAACCGGCGACTATAGGAATTTTGCTAAGGGCACCGCTGCGGTGCATTAGGCGCGTTTCCACACATTAAGGAGCGACATCTGTAAGGTTATTTCTACTACGAGAGAGAAACCTCCCGAGGGATGGAACATAAACCAGGTGCATGTTTGGCTTGCTGGTATGCGGACAGATGCGTGCACACACGCTCGAACGCACCGATGTAATGTCGGGATGCATGAGAGCAAAGTATCAACAAGCGCACACGTGCATGCGTGAGTGCACGGACGCGAGGGCGGTGGCGGCAGCAGGAGCGAGCGTGCAAATGCGCATACGCGTTGGGGAGGTGGTGGGTGCATGAGCGCACACGTAGATACGACTATGAAAACAGACACTGGGCAATGCACGCGCATGAACAAGCAACTACAGCCACGCAATCTACTGCTCCCTTTTACTGCTGTGCCCACTCACTGCAGCCATCCTGTCAGCTTCATTTTTTTTTTGCCTGCCAGCCACTGTACAATTACATTTCTAGAGATACTGTGCGGCTTCATCTTATCATGTGTTCCTAGAACTGCAGCCACTTCGCAGCTACACCGAAACTCTCAACTGCTACACTTTACAGCCGATGACCACATCGCCTGGAATGTGCGCGATCTCGTCTCAGAAGCGGAGAGGATGAGCCTGGATAATGCTTCAATGGGTGATCGCCACATACACCAAATGTTGTTATCGGCTGCGGGATTTCGTGCTGGGCAGCAGACGGTAGTGCAATACTTGCTATGCTCCCACAAACAATAAAGCTAAAATAAATTTCGATTTAAAGCTTTCGTGACTGCAGGGATTCATCTTCTTGGTTCTTTCGGTAAAGTCACGTAGAAGGGAAGTAATACAATAATAAAAATAAAACATAATAAAACAATTCTCACGACGTTTCGGCCACAACGCAAGCAGCCGTCCTCAGGTGAAGAACATGTCTGTCGATAAGACAGGTGAAGAACATGTCTGTCGATAAGACTGTCGATAAGACTCTGTCTTATCGACAGACTCTGTCTTATCGACAGACATGTTCTTCACCTGAGGACGGCTGCTTGCGTTGTGGCCGAAACGTCGTGAGAATTGTTTTATTATGTTTTCTTTTTATTATTTTATTACTTCCCTACTACGTGACTTTACCGAAAGAACCAAGAAGATAAAAGCTAAGATATTTTAGATTTTACCAGGTAAGGCTCACTGAGCTATGTAGCTCTTTTTCAGAAGCGACCTGGCCACAAATGATAGCTCAACGAAGTGGCTTATCACGTAGAAATGTATAGCAGCCAAATACTCCATAATCTTCACCTTTACCAACGCACACTAACCAGTGTGGGTGGTGACATCTGGTCAAATAACTCCCACAGTGTGGAGAGGACTTGTATGTGTTGTCCTCTCATACTACCA